AAATTTTTGTTTCCACAAAATCTTTTTACTGTTTGATTTGTAAATGGACGAACAAAAAGTCAACCACGTTTCGAAGATCAAGGACAGTTATCATATTTAATATCATTTAATCTAAAAAATAAGATCTTGTCAAGGGTGCAGTATATATCTGTACTTAGACTGAAACGCCTGTCTCTATTCCAGCCTCTGATAGCTATTTGGATGAAGTAGAGACAGAAAAAGCAGGCCCTGTTAAATGGGGACATTCCGCATCTAGATACCTCGAATCTGCAAAACCCAGATATATTTGAATATATGAATATTTTTGTGGTTTAGCTCTACCACCATTTTCTCCATACAGCATTTATGTCTCGTCTCCAATTCCGTCATTTTTTTTAACGAAACGGATCTAGTATCGGCCGTTTAAAAGTGCGTGCGTAGCCAAAAGTTTTTTTTCTGACTCTACTCTAGCCAACAACTGTCAAAATATCCATCAGAGGCTGGAATAGAGGCAGATGTTTCGTACTCATCTGTGCTGAACGCTCTAGATGAATAAGTCTTCTGTATCTTAACACATGACTTTAACTTGTCATTCATCTATATGTATATAGTATATATATAAAAAAAATCAGTTTCCTATCACCTGGTAAATTAGCATCCTATTGCATTGACATGGAAAGACCAATAAAAGAAGGTAAGTCTATTACAATAACTTGTTGTGGATAGACTTTGCCCAACAGTATGACATCCTATCATAAGAAATTATAAGTATCAATGTAATTTGCACTTGGGGAATATTGAATAGGAGATGCATAGCCTTGTCTTATCCCAGTTTAAACCCGAATTTGCTGTCCACGAAATCAGCCTTAAATTGTGTGACATACGACGACAAAATAATGCACCTGACACATCCTGGCATTATCCAAATAGAAAATAGGCATATGATACCACAAACCTGAAGAGAAAATGTATTTATTCTGATTTCTTTGATTATGTTACAAAATCACCTTTCTCAAGTGTAAATTTGACGAAGGGGACTGGTGCCAATAAAACAACGTAGTTTTGTAAATAAAATAGGGAGGATAACATAAAACATCCCTGTCTCAAACCTGTTACGAATGGTGTCTTCACATCGAATCTAGGTGTATGGAAATTATCATGATCGCTAGTTCACAGTCAGCTTTGTACATGTGGGAAAAAGTTGTAGACAAGATACAACTTTGTCGTCTCCCATATCAGGTATATTTTCGACCCAATTCCACTGCTGATACCACTGTTCGAAACTAGTTAATTATCAGAATTTTTAAATATTATCATTATTAATCAAATATTTGAGCATATTCTACTTTATCTTTTTTTTTACTACGTTGTGAGCAAACCACGAATATTTTAAATTGAAATAAGTCAATGGTACATAACGCGTTATTGCTAATTTAAACAATAATTTTATGTGAATATTTTAGCCTTTAAACATGTATATGTTTATTATTGATATTCGTGATCTATCGCTGTTTTATGTCGCTGATAGTGATACGTAGTTTATTATTTCCAAACCTCATCAATGGGCCTATCTTGATAACTGTTTGATATAACATTTGTTTTCTCACAAAGTATGAGAATATACTTAGTACCTTTAGTACTTTAATTTGAATTCCTGTAGAAATATAACTGAACGTCCAATCCGCTCACTGGTTTACTTTGAATACATTTAAAATATCTAATCGTTCTGCTTACCTTCGATTACCTAGAAGGTTAAAGTCCTGTCAAAACGTTTTTTTTTACCAAACTTTGCCTTCTTCAAAAGGCTAAATTCCTGATCACAACGTCATTCAATTAATAGTAAGATTTCAAAGAAATGAACACAATGAAAAAAGATTTGTTACGAGTCACTGATGTAAGCTTAAAACACACCCACAATCCGAACGCAAGGTATTAAGTCCAGTATATGAAAAAATCTACTGACACACTATGACGCCTTTTTTGTATAAATATGATTTTTATTTATTGTTTAATGATTATATATTACAGAATCTAAGTTTTAAATCCGAACTTATCGATTGTCCAATATGGTCCTACTAAAATAAAATAGATAACGATATACAAAAGACATTTCTAGATATTTAGTATTTAGAAATGGCTAACAGTTGTGTTCGAAATGACATAGTTAACAAGATGACTAACACACCCTTCTTATTAAAGACTGTCGTCTGTGTGTTCGCGCCTACTTTTCGTGCCTTAAATAAACAATATATTTGAATAGTTTCACGTTTATTAGCCAAAATGGAAAGTGATGATCTGCAGTCGATGTTTTCATTTAAACAATAACCAAAAACACTCCTTTGAATTTATTCAACAAATTAAAAAAAAATATGTTAAAACAAATTTTTATACCGAACAGAAAACTTTTAAAAACAGCATGATTCATGAAACCACAAGGTACAGACTACTTTTGTATTTGTCTGTATATCTACATTATAGTTTCGACCTTATAAGGAGAGGAAAATATATAATTTTATACAATATTACTGAATATTTCAATTGTATCAATTTCACGGGTAAGATTCTATACATGAAAAACAATCGCTAATCCCATCTGAATAAACCCAAAGATGACCGATGTAGGTTAACGTATCAGTATACTGACTGACTATATTTTCTATTTAAAATATTTAAAAGTCACTATTGGGTCTAAAGTCAACACAATATTTTGTTCGAGGACGTATTTGAGTTAGAGGTGCTAAAACATTATGAAGCCGTATGACAACATTAGCCCTGTACAACTTAAGAAAAAAAACGGTTCTAAAACGAAAATATTTCGTTTGAAATAACACTACGAAGTTTCCAGCAAACCCCTAGGCAAAATTAACTGCTATGGTCAGAGAAATTTGGTTATGTATTCAATGAAATATCAATTCCTGGACAATAACTGATCAACTCTTTTATCTAACAGAAAGTATGATCTATATATAAAATGTTATTTGTCACTGATCACAATTAGCAAGGCATAAAATCACCAAAGTTGGCAACTTATTGGGCCGATAAACCTTGTAAAACGACTATTGTCCATTTTCAAAAAAGCCTACAACTTCACGCAAAATTAAACAAGTGAACAAGCTGACCGACTTATATTAATTTGTCGGTATGCCTTTTCACACTTTAACTTAATATAATGTACAGTGAATGCCTATCCTATTAACAGTTAATATTATAACATTACTGTACTTATTGACTGCATTAGGGTTAGCGACTTAAATTGGATGCCCTAATATTGAATCCTTTTAGACAATGTAAATCATTGTGATATCTTTTGAGGTAGGCTTATAAAATTAGGTTATTATAACGAGTGATTCAAATTAATCCTAAGGTCTACATTGTGATTAAAAGCTAAATCTTTATGTTCTTATCATTCTTGTTGCTGCTATTAAATCTTAACTTTTATACAAATTAGTTGACCCTACTTAACCACTGATCCCTAAATTCGCATATTGAAATAAATGTCGTTTAAAAATATTCTAAATCGGTGACAAAGTAGCCTATAATTGACTTTAAACTGAAAAACATTCAAGACAAGACCTTTTTTGCAAGGTCTACCTTTATGTTAGGTTATCTCTGATGTGCGTCACGATTGGTATCCTACTGGAAACCCAAGTTAACACCACATCTCTTTAATGCAGGTGGCCCAGCATTCGAGCGAGTGGCAAATCACCAGTTTCTTAAATAAACGACTTACAGGTATTTTAAGAAAATGTACTGTCTATCAATTAAACATTATTACAACATATCCAAGGTCACGACCTTTTTCATATTCTGCACTGTGAAATGCAAAACAATTTAATTTATACAATAACCCAGGGAAAGAGAATTTCAAATTTATGATTGGTAGTCACCCCTTGGGTAATGAATCTTTTTAATATACCAACATGACATTTTATTTAAAAAAGTTACATTATTAAGACAATTCGATTTTATTCGATATTATTTTATTAGGTAGATCTTGTGGTCTGAGCACCGTTCTGGTCCTTTATTACACTAATTGCACCCTGCATGGCGTTGCCCGTCTTCAAAAGCTCACACGGTGCAGAAAAGTAGGACGTAAAACTCCATACATTTCATTTCATTGTATTTTCCTTTTCATTTTCAATAACAATTTAAAATGGCTACAACTGTAAGAATGTGAATTTGTACAATAGAACTTACCAAGCACATTTCATGTCGATCCAAAATCATAGATGATAAAAATGCATGTATTACCGAAAAAATATTTAGCTGCAAGGCATTCACTTGTAGGTTACATGAGAAACCTTTGCATTACCGGTTTTATATGTCTCAAAACAAAATAGATTAAAAATATGATAAGCTGGAATATGAAAGATAACAAGTATATTGAAAAGGTTGAGATTTTGTGAATTTTATTAATTAAAGGTTTCTTGGGAATATTATACATGTATTTGTTTTCTTCCTTTTAATCAAATATAGCCGTAACACGTCAAAACGGATCCATCAGATAATAGTCAAAAGGATTTGGTCGGCAGAGTAGAATATTGTTGAACTTTAAAACTATGCAAGGTCGAATGGTCGATTATATAGACAATGTTGCACGAACATCGAACATAGCTTAATCATATGTTGTCCAAGACGTAGTCAGGCTCCAATGAGAGATAATATCCAAAATCACACTTTTACGGTAATACATTCTCACGGACGAAAAGTCAATCAAATGTTCCTTTCATCATAGATCTGGTCAGTTGTCATTGAACTAAATTGCCAATCTAAGGCCTGAGCATAGTTAAAATTACTTTGAATTTCTGGGATGAGGGCCCTAGCAGTCATATCTAACCATATACAAAAATTTTCATGCACAAGATTTTTGTTTTGAATGTTAACAGCGGTGCCACATATAATTGGTAAGTAGAACTTCTTGAATCTTATGGGCCGATAATTCTTCTCTATGAAATGGGTATGTGGTATATGTGAATATATGTGTATGTATGTATAATTCATAGATGGATGGGAACAAAAAGAAACAATAAATTCAGTTTTAATTTTTTTTCAAAATCTATAATAAATTTACTATATGATATGATTTATGTTAACAAAGAATAATAATATAATGATATGGAATGGTTATTGTAAAATCAACCTAATTCATTATTCAATGCACCAAACATACAGGATAATTTACAATTGTACAATGGTTTCTTCCATGTTGGTGTACAGAAAAATATTACACAATTTCATATTCAAAGTATTCACATTTAACTTTGTCTACCTGATAAATAGACAATGCCAGTGCAATCGATTTACAACCTTATCATCTTGAAGATTCACAGAATGCCTATTATTTGATTTCTTCAATCTAAATTAACCATTTTATATGTAGCCATTTCGCCATTTAGGTTTTGCAAACTTATTCAAAGTATACCATTAAGAATATTCCACAGACAATGTGGATAATTAAGCTGCCAATTTTTGGGGATCAAAATGGATGAGAAGCCACCAATTAGTTTTTGCAAGCAAGACCCAATATTTTAACTTTAGATCTAAGGGTCAAAGCACTTAAGCTGTGCCAAAATAAAAAAAACTTGGACAAGTTAATTTATCCAAAACATAATTTTTTTTCGTTTTTGTCATGGTTAGGTCAGTAAGGCCATATGGTTAATTTCTGGAAGGTATGATTTTAGTACAAACCTGTTATCTTTAAAATCATTTCTTTCATGTCCTATGTCCAGATCTTATCTGTATAATAGTCCTTAGGTTCAATAAATTAATCATAGAAAAATGACACAAATGATCTTATGTAGAGTACATATTGTATAATGTATTATTAATCAGTAAGAAAGATCTTGTTCAATGCTAAATATTCTCATGAATTTTAATGAACCTTTCATCATCTTGAACCTAATATTAACTCACATAGCACTTATATACTAGTAGACATTTTGTGACCCTTACAAACTCATAAAAGTGTTAGTTGGTACTGATAGACTTAAATTTAATTATTTATCATACAAGATTTCATTTTGATACTAAAATACACTGTTAGTAGATATATTTCTATAGGATGGATTCAATATCAGGCACAGATATACTTTGATTTATATACTATTCAAATCTTTGTTTTGAAATTTAAATAATATAACAATTCATTATATAAATTATATCTTAACTTTGGCCCGATGGTTTTCAATACATTGATTAGATTCAGTCATTTGACATCATATAACAAAAATCATCAAATTAAATATAACACTATAGTAAATATATTGGGAAGGATGTAATCAAAAAAATTGGAATTAAAGGTAGAAGAATGCAAAAAAATTGCGTACATATTTTAAATAAAGGCAAGCAAAATGATGAAAATTAAAAAGAAATTTTGGAATCCATTACTGATATACAGAAGCAATTGAATGTAATGAATATTCACAATTACACAAATACAACAAATCTACCATAAATATCATTCAATTTAGTTTCTGCATGGGCTGATTGGAATGCTACTCTAGTAATTTAAAAAACATTCATTGTTTTCTCCCATTAATAACAGAATATACAGCAATAAAACTGTCAAAAATTTCTTAAAAACTGATGGTTCCCGTTTCAAATGAGCATCAAGTGAGGTTGATATTTTGTATACAAATTAATATATTAAGCCAATTTCATATTCACAACCATTTTACATTTATTCTCGTCTTTGATGTAACGGAAAAGGCCAAAAAGATAGTAGAAACAATATAAAATTTAATACTTTTACAGCTGATTTAATCCCAGTATTATATTACAAGCAAAAATTCAAAGTTAATTTAGTTTTTGCATGTCATTGGCACCCCTAAAATTCATTAAAAAATAAGCAGTCAATTTAAATCCCAGTATTTAACCAGCTGTACAAATAACAAGATTTGCCTGATCACTACCTTATAGATATGAGGTGAGGGGACCCAGGCCACAAAATTTTGCAGGGGGGCCTCAAGCCATTTCTTTCACAAGGTCGGGCCAGCCTATTACTCCCCCTTGTAGAAACGCCACTGATGAGGTAAGGTAAAAATAAATATCAAAATGTTTGCAAACTAGTAGACTATAATGATATATCATGAATAAAAATTTGTACAACCAAGACAAATCTGTTAATCAAAATCTCGTCCAAAGTATAGCAAAAATAGATTGTAAAAGTTGTATAGTAGTGGCCTCCTCCAAAGAGGGGTACTATCAGGTGTTTCGAAAAGAGTGATCACGAATAATGAATCAAAATTTAGGGAGAAAATCCTCCTTTATGACGATGTGATCAACTAAATGCTATAATGATTTTAAATTCAGAATTATTTTCCATTCAGTTTATAACTTCAGTCTTTAAACTGTCCGTTTCTGATCAAATCTGCATTGAAGCTACCAACATGTTCAAAATCCTGAACCAAAGAAATCATTTGACTAATTTCTCTTATTATCTAGGGATGTATCTTTTCTAAATCTATCTACATTATGATATGAAGACTTCTTTAGATAGCTGTCCTTGATATGAAATGTAATTTTTGGCAGAATATGCCACTATAAAATTAAATTCAAATATTGACTTAAATAAAAATCAAAACAAAAATAAGTTTCCAAGCAAAATCAATTCTGATTGTAATGAACTCGGGATACCCTAGTATATATTTTATCTCTGCATTGTCTGATAAATTTAAAAGCATTCAAGAGTAATTGTTGTGCATAGTTCAAATTATTGCAAACATTTTAAAAGTCATATTTCAAAATACATTGCTTTCTTGCACTTGCAGATTGAACATTTTCCATGATCTGGGTAAGTTTCAAACTTGAATGTTCAGAATGTTTCAGTACATTTTTATCATTATCTGTATTAAAAATGTATGATAGGGCACCCTAGATAGAATATCTAATGATTTAGTAGACCCAGTTTACTGGAACCCATTGCTGTTCAGATGATAATGAAGTCAAGGCTTTTCTCAGTGCTCTGTATGTGGCTTCAAATGAATCGTTCACCAATATAAGGTCAAAATAAGCTTTATATGTCTGTTCTATCTGAGCGCTTTCTTTGACAGTCCGAATAAAATCTTCTTCCTGCAGATACAAAGAAATAAGTAAAAAGTTTTATTTAAACAAATTTTGTAATAAAGAACTTGTCATCCGACAACTTGTGATAAAGACACAATAGCAAAGTCCTTTTCATTCTATTCGAACCACAAGATGCCTGTTTAACTATATTTTTGCACCAAATGTATGTAATACGAATAAATGGTACTTACTGTTTTAACTTCAACCATATTAGGTCCACCACCTCGATTCTAAATAACAAAAAAATAACTTGTCTTATAAGGATTAATATATTCCTATCAATGAGCAGCAATTTCATCTGTCGTAAAAATTTTAATGTCTTCAATAGAAGCATAATTCGAAATGTCAATTATTTCCAATAATAATATATTTCCACAAAGGTTTCAATTCTACCTGAATGGAGTTTTATGTCCTACTTTTCGGCACCATGTGGGACGGGCAACGTGCAGGCCAGAACACCTACATTAGCCTGCTTCTTTTTCGATTTCCAACTGTCCAGAGATTGTAAACGTGCACAGTCTGTAGCACACAGGGCCTCAGTTTATTGATCCATCCGAACGACTAGACACTTTTTCCATGTCAACCCCTTTTACCTGCATCTCTGACAAGGGGAAACTCTGTTGAAAAATCTGAAGGTATTATCTCGACAAATGGTTCTTAGCATTATACAGTAACATCGAAGACACTAGTTTTCATTCATATAACAATATTAAACATTAATTTAATAACTACCCTAACTGTCTAAGATTACTTTATCCTCCATCTTATCTGAAACAATTTGAACTTACCCTTCCTCTACCAGTAGTACTTAATCTTCTACCCTCTTCATACATGACTTTTAGTGCCTCTACACTAGGTGCTGCTAAAAACACTATATAAGGCATAAACTCTGGTGTCTTTAATACTTTTAATGACTGAAAAAAAAAAACAGTTAAAATAAACATTATCAGAAAATCAAAAACAAAAGCTGAAAAATCATGAAATCATGCTCAAAATAGCTTATGAATCATGATAAGCTTTACATTGAAGATGTTTTTGAGCTTAAGAAAACAAGTTGCAGTTTCATAATATAAGCAAATTTATTAATGAACCAATCAGGTATATGGATGAAAATGGTGGTAAGTTGAACAATGAAAAAGAATTTTAATGCACATACCGTAGGATTGACATCTAAAACACACATTTTACCAGTTTTCATAACATCATAGATAGTTTCTAACTTAGTACCATATAAATTATTATTATATTCACCAAATTCTATATATTTCTGATCATGTATATCTAATGCCATTGAATCACGGTCAGTAAAATAATATCCTCTACCATTCTCTTCATTTTCTCTTGGTGCTCTGGATGTATCTAAAATACATAATACACAAGTTAAATAAAGTTAAGTTTTTAAGAACAGGCCTGAGAAACATACAATTTTTTTTTATTCCACTGAGTAAAGAATATGCTCATGTTGTTGAAAGTCTTTTAGATGAACTGTTAATTCTACATTTTTCCCTCAATACAAAATATTTTTCCAATGGCAACAATAACCTTGATTGAGAGTAACTTACGAGCAATAACTCCAGCAAATTTCCTTGGATCATCTCTAATCAATCTTTCTTTCAGAGATCTTCTACCAACTCCATTGGCACCAACCAATACCAGAACACTTCTCTGGAATGGTGCCATCCTTCTAACCTCTTCATAGATCAACACATCACATCTATCAAAGTTGGTATTTGATTTAGTATTATACTTATATTTCTTCTTCTTCTTCCTTGTTAAACCACATACTATAATTATAATAATGTAAATCGTTAAATTGACTATTAAACGAGCTTGTTTCAAAAGATTTTCTTATAACGGTCAGTTGTTCATTTATTTACTCGTTCATTTAATCACAGGTCTTCAAATAACTTGCATAATATTGGTAATCATAGAAATATGTATTGGTGGCATCACCACAATGACCACCTAGTAGAACAGGAAATAGTCTGTCATTTTAAACAGTCATTCCTCAAAATAATTTTTTTTTTCTTTTCTTCTCAGTAATAACAATTTTAGATAATTGTATATATATCAATCAGGGAGAAACAACTCCACAATATGGAGATAAAATACAGAAAGTCAACTCTGATCCATAAAGAATTCAGTATCTTCTTCAGTAGGTTCAACTTACACAAACTACTAGTAGCATTATCATAATCATGTTGTACAAAGGCTTTTCTTTTCTCTTCTAAATTTTTGGATGGTATTAGCCCAGTTGGACCTTCTATATCAGCAAAACGAGCCTAAAATAATGTTCAGTAAATAACACTGTTGTATATAAAATTCAAACTTTCATACTGAAACTTTTGCTGAAAAAAAGGGCAACTAATTCCAAAAAATTACTAAAGTGGTTCTTACACCTAGGTTGCAAATAAGAACAGCGGTTGGAACTCATGACCACATTATTTGAAATCATATGCAACTGGTAATCACTATGATGGAGGGACACTTTAGTAATATTTTGGAATTTTAAATTACATAAAACCAACTTATAGTCATTTATTTCACAGGTTGATAAAAGCTTAAAAAATAAAGAAATGAAGTTACCTGCCACCAATTAGGATCATCTGAGTTAACTATTTCTAAAATATCACCGTCTTGAAAAGGTAAACCAGCTTCTTTACATGGTATTAATCTATCTTTCATTGGGTCATACGAGAAATGGGCTTTCATATAAATCTGCAATATAATATCTTTATCAATATCAAGGCATAAAAATCTTTATAACAAATAATAAGACATAAATAAATCTTATTACATTTAACTTTTTTGTCAAAGCTTGGAAAATGTTCTTTTTTATGTCAGGCCATATAAAATAAATAGTCTGTTTTACAGGCCTTGTTCGCTCCAGTAAAATACCCCGCGCTTCAAACCTATTTATTGACATTTTGAAGTAATTAATGAATAATGCGTGCGAGCCCCCAAAATAATGTGTAAAATAGAGTTATTTTCATTGAGTTTTTTTTAGTAAAACTGGAAGTGGTTTAGAACACGTTTTCAAGATCTAATAACTCTCATTAAATTTCAAAATCACCGCTAAAATCCATGGTTCTTTTTATATCACTTAAAAGTGATGTTGATTTTGAAAATTAACCATTGGAAGATACATTAGTTTGCTGAAGGAAGCACAAATTGTTGCCACATTTTATGTTGAAAATCAAAACATTTATCTTGAGTGTCTTGATAATTATTCCGTTTCTGAATAAATTAAATACAGTCTACAAGAATGCACCCAAGTGCATCATTGTCAGAAGTGGTAGATATCTTTGGATATTTCATTACAAACATCAATTAATCAAACATTAAGCATTATTTGTCCAAGAACAATAAGAAAATCCAACTTTAAAGAGGCACTTTCACAATCCATTTTATCACACTTTTCAGAAACTGGAATTGTTTAGCTATTAAGCTAATCAGTACTACTAGTTTACAATTTACTCTAAACTTTGAGCACTATCATCTCTTTATTTTATTTACATTTTTAAAGTTATATTGACATTTTTCACAAACTTCACCTTGGCATAGGTTAGTTAATAAATGGATTTAATAAAATAAATACAAGTATATGTGAAGGAAGTGTTGAATTATCACAAGTTCTTGTACTTCTGTTGACTATTGAAAATCTAAAAAAGAGTTTATAAATTATAAATAAAGCCCTCTCGACCCGATTTTTGAAAAAAAAAGGCCTGTAAAACAAGACTATTTATTTTGTATGGCCTTACCATGTTTATTTCCTCAGTTATTCCCAAATTTTATAATAACTTACAGTTTCAGTAGATCTGGAATCATTATAGGAGGGAACTATTTTCAATGTAATGGTATTATCAGCTTGAACTATTGTTTCCATCAACTGATCTGGGGTAACCATAGGCATACCATTAACTTCACGTATAATATCATTTACTCGTAATAAACCTATATAAAATAAACATGTTTTGTTTAGCTTGTATCGACAAAAGGTTACTTAGAAATTAAAATAAAATAAATTCTTAGATGCAAGGTTTATTCAATCTTTTAATACACCTAATTCAATGGGTTTGACTTACATCCATTCTGAATAATAAACACCCCTAATGTATATTTAGCATTTTTTTTATTACCCTTATCAAACTTTCTAATACTATGTTACATCAATACACTTAAACAATAGAAAAATTGGGGACAACAACTGAATCTAAACATAACACTAGACTAAAATAAATACCTAAAGGGAACTAACCTTGTTTATCAATCAAGCTACCTTGTAATATTCTGGCTACAACTAAATCATTACATTCATCTAATTTAACAGTAATACCTAAAGGCTCTTTATCAGATTTGCGTATGGTTACAAAGCGTACTTGTTCTGTAATAACATTAAATAATGGTGGGGGTGGGGACATTAAAGATTGAGTTTGGTCTTCTTGTTCAACACGATCACCATAATCTCTCTGTACGACATCATCATGGGCTACCATTAGAGCCTAAATAAAATATTGATATTTATCTTTCGATCAAATCATTTGTTCAATATTGTAATGTTATTGTAGTAAGTCAGCTACTTAATCAATCATTCAGTAATAGATATAGAAATGGATACAGCGAAAGAGATAAAAAACCCTTATCTAATAAAAAGCGTGATATCTTGTCCAATTTGTTTCTACATGACCAACTAGGTTTTACTTACCTTGAAGTGAGGATTTTGAATGATCTTTGATAATGAAGCTGCATTACGATTTTTATCTTTGGCTGATGAAACTATCTGTAAACAATCTCTTGCCATACCAACAGAATTAGATGCTTCTGGCTCAGGTGCACCATGTTCCAATTCATCATGAATCTAACAGAAATTTTGTCAAATATGCATTAAGTGTCATTGGCATAAAAATAACCATGTAAAAATCGCCCATACAAAAAAGAAATCCAGTAAAACTAATTCAAAACAAAAATCCTGTGTCTATACACATATGGTACATTAAGTGTACTTTGTAACAGTACAAACTATCTAGTTACAAAGTTACAAAGATGATGCTTTAAACTAGAAAAAGACCCCAGACATCAGTTAGGGTCTAATGACAGCCCTCTTGAATGTTCGTCAAATCAACCGTTTGACCTAACCTGAAAAACACAGCATCACAAAATGCTAGCGGTGGAGAAGGTAGAAATTTGATTGGTTAAAGCAGACATCATCAAGTCATCAAAAGATTAATTTGACGATCATTCCATAGGGCTGTCGTTAGACCCTAACTGAAGTGGCTATATCTAAAATGAAAGCTAATAAAAATAGAAGGAATGTTTGGTCTTATGTAATTAGACTGTTAGAAAGCACGATTGATGTCATTCTATTGACTAAAGACTTACTTTGAAAAGGGACACAACAGTAGGGTCATCAAGAAAAGCTCTGAGAAAATCTAAGTCTTCATCCCCAGCTTCTATCTCTCTTTCTTCAAGTGCATCAAAATTATTCTGGATTGTTTGTACAGCCTCTACAATAACATTTCAAACTCAAATAATATCGGTACCAAATGTTTAAATTCACATACCAGCTTTTTAATCATTTTACTTCTAAAATTCAAAATTCTTTCAGTCTAGTTTATCACAGATTTCACAGGAAATCTATTCTTGACAAGTTTAAGATTTAACAAAATTCAGAGGAACCTGAAAATTGCATTGCATATTATGAGATAAAGTAGGTCTAAGCCCTTGAAAGAAGGCTTACTTGACTTGTTAAGATTACTGTAACAATGTGTGGGGCAAGGAATGAATAAAAGAACGACGAGTTGTGTAAAACTTTAATGATGTATTCCTCAGCACACATGTCATATAAATTACAAATCATGGCCTAGGCCTAGTATTAACGGGAGATAACTCTTTAATCGTTATTACTTATCTCTCTTCTTAACAAATAAACCTACATGTAATACATATGATATTTATGAAGTGTTTACAACTTAAAGATTATAACTTTGAATACAGAATGAAACGTGAATACATATACGCGAAATAACATATTTACACTAGCCTTAGAGTAACAATAGTAACAATAAAAGATATGGTTAGGCTACATTGATTCTATAATTTTGGGTTTAACTACTCTACCCGACCTGGTGACATACATGCCTGAATCGTTTGTTTTGCAAGATAGGTCCTGTTTAGGGTCTCCTACATTTTTAGAAAAATTGCCACTTGGAGGAATTATTTCAGGTGTAGAAGGGTTAATTTCGGGACTTACAATGGAATCGGGCTGATTAATATTGTCCTCGAAGTTATTTAAAGGAACATATTCGTCAGTTTTAATCAAGTCACGCCTGTTCCTTCTGTAAATTCCACCGTCGGGGCTTTCAACAACATAAGACCTAGTACTAAGGGGGTGCCTATCAATTACAACTGCTGGCTTCCATAAGCCATTATGTTGCCTAATCCGAACAGGATTTCCTTGCTCAAGTGCCTTTAAGGGTTTGGCTCCTTTATTGTAATACTTATTTTGACATTTTTGTTTTGACACAAGTTGGTTATGAATGTCACCGTAATAAGGGACACTTGGCAATAGTTCTTCAAGAGTAGATGGGAGGATAGATCTTAACTTTCTGCACATTAGTAACTGAGAAGGGGTATAACCTGAATTTAAAGGGGTGGTATGATACTCTAATAAGGCAAGTTATTGGTCTGTCCCATCAGCCTTACATTTACTAAAGATACGCTTCACAATCTGGCCGTTAGATTGTGGGTAGTGAGGACTCGAAGTCACATGTTTGAAATCCCATTGTTTGGCAAACTCCTTTAACCCATGCGAGTCATATTGGGGATTGTTGTCCGAAACGCATGTATCAGGGTTTCCCAACCTTGAAAAAGTGCCCTTAAGTTTGTTTATAACAGCCTGACTTTTAATACCATGAAGCTTGTGGACCTCAAAGAACAAACTATAATAATCAACAACTACAACATAATCATCATTATTCCAACAAAATAGATCAGTGGCTACAACCTGCCAAGGGCATTGTGGAATTTTGTGAGGTTTTATGGCTCCTTAGGATTAGCATTTCGACGTTCTAGACAAATTGAACACTTCAAAACCATATTGGTGATATCGGTTGACATTTTCGGCCAAAACAAAGTATCTCGAGCTCTACGTAAACACTTTTCAACACCCATATGACCCATATGAACACGATCAAGCATTAGGGATCTTAACAATGTAGGAATAACTATTTTGCGTCCTTTGAAAATAAGACTACCTATGACAGTATGTTCATCTCTGTGATTCCAAAACTCAACTATTTCCGGGAGACATTCAGAGTGCAGACCAGGCCAACCATCAAGTATTACGTGCCTTAAGATTTCAAATTGAGGGTCTGATAAGGAAGCCTTTTCGATGTCTTGTATTTTTTGTCGCTAACAGGGAGATTAGACAAAATCATGTGAACTTGTGCTTCAAAGCTGTCTGAGAGACCAGGGAAAGTGTCTGATAGAAATTTCCTAGACAAAGTATCGGCAACTGGAATACTTGTACCAGGTAGATGTAGAAGGTCAAGGTCGTAATGCTGTAACCGTAAAATCATACATTGTAGCCTAGCTGGGGCATCCAGTAGAGACTTTTTCATTATTGAAACCAAAGGTTTATCATCCGTCTCGACTTTGACACGACGGCCATAAATGTACTGATGGAAACGTGTGCAACCAAAAACTATAGCATACATTTCCTTTTCAATTTGTGCGTAATTAACTTCTGTGGCAGTTAAAGATTTCGAAGCATAAGCCATGGGCTTATCATTTTGGAGCAACACAGCTCCTAACCCATACTTGGAGGCATCGACCTGTAAGGTCAAATCCTTATGAGGGTCATAATAAGATAGAATAGGGCCTGGAGACTTAGTCAATATCTCTTTAACCTTCAGAAAAGCTTCAACTTGAGGTTCATCCCACAACATCCTTATTCAACTATTTACGTAATGGGCTAGTTACTTCTGCTTAATTGGGTGAGAATTTTGAGAGGAAGTTAACCATGCCTAGAATAGTCTGCAACTCAGATTTATTTGAAGGGTGGGGCATTTCTCGAATGGCCTTGATTTTATTAGGATCTGCTTTAAAACCTGATGAGGTTAGGACGTGACCAAAGTAAGTGACCTCAGTGACACCAACTTCCAACTTATCCTCATTGAGTTTGACACCTTTTTGTCTGGTTATTTCTGAAACCTTGCGTAAACTTAAGTCATGCTCCTCTCTGGTGGAGCCATAAACTAGAATGTCGTCAACTATTGCAACAACATTATCAGGTCCTGTATAACACTCATCTATTTTGTTTTGAAACAAATCTTGTGAGCAATTAAGACCAAATGGCAACCTCTTAAATCAATATCTGCCATGGGGAGTATTAAATTTAGTTAAGTATGAGGACTGTTCTGAAAGGCTGATGGCCCAGTAACCCGATCGGACTTCAAGTTTTGTAAAATAATGTGCATTTGACAACTGGGGGAGAATATCGTTTTCATTGGATAATGTGGACGCTGAATGGCAGAGTTCAGGTCTTTATCTACTTTGCAAATTATCTAGCTTGTCTTTAGGACGGTCTCTTAAAGACACAGGTACACGTCGTGGGGGGTGAACTACAGGAGGAACATTAGGGTCAATGTGTATCGTAGCTTTCCCTGGAATGAGATCAACCCCTTTGAAAATATCAGGATACTCTTTCAATACTGAACCTTAAATAGTTACGTGCTCATGAGAACCTGCTGGTCAGGGACATGTGAAGTGTGTGTACTGTAAACTAGCTTTATAAGCTGATAATCTAAGCAAGATTTCATACCTAAAATGGGTGGGGAATGAGTATCTACACAATAAAATTCAACATTACTAGAGATAGATCCTTTTTCACAAGGTAGGGAACAGATACCAAGTGATGGCAGTGGATTACTATTATATGCAGACAGACTACGTGGTGATTTTCTCAGTGCACCCTTAAACTTCAGATTATCATAATCATATTTTGGAAAAATATTTACCTGTGAACCCGTATCTAGCTTGAATTCAATAGGTTTTGCATAATATAATTGGTAGCAAATGCTTGATCGTTCTTAACATTAAACTTAAGTTTATCTATTATAGAGTCTATATAAATACCTTCTTCAATGTCGTCTTCACTGGGAATGACTTCATGAACTTTCGTTTTGATCGGCACACTTTTGAAGAATGGTTTCACTTTTGGCAGCTGTTGCATTTCTTTCCTTTTGCAGGACACTCTTCGGGTTTCAGATGTGAGTTTCCACAGTTTCCACAAGACTTCTGCTGATGTGGTTTCTTCGCATCATAAGATCTTGAATCATTAGCAGGATGTCCTTTGTTGACAAAACTTTTCTTCTTCTGGTCATATTTCATACTTGATCCAGAGGCACTATATTTTGCTTGTCTCTGCGATCTGAGCTCATGGACTGCTGCCGGCTTTTCATCTGTTATAGTTGTCCTTGGCTGTATTCGAATGCCTGGGCGATTTTGATTGATTTTTCAAGCGTTGGTCCCAAATATAAGACTGTCTCTGATCATCTCGTCCTGATCCTTGAAATTACAGTCCTTTGCGATCAGTTTCAATCTGGTGATAAACTGCTCAACTGTTTCACTTCCTTGGGTTTTGTCTCTGAATTTGCATCGTGCAAGTAAAGAGTTCTCTTTTGGATGGACGTAAGCAAGAATTTGTCGAAATGAACGGAAAGTTTCACTGAGTCACCTTCGTTCAACTGCCATGTATTAAAGATGTCACGGCCTTTTTCACCAATCTTTACCTTTTCGGCAAGCGGTCCGTTCAGAATTAGTTCCACATGCTGTTAAAACTTTTTCCATGTTTCCACAATATTGGATGAATCCCAGTCAATCTGTGGTTTTGGCACACCGTTTAAATCCATATTTCCCGTATTTTCTGACACCATGTAACAATGTGTGGGGCAAGGAATGAATAAAAGAACGACAAGTTGTGATCAACTTTAATGTATTCCTCAACACACGTCATATATAAAGCGGGGCTTAAAAATTACAAATCATGGCCTAGGCCTAGTATTAACGGGAGATAACTCTTTAATCGTTAATACTTAATTGATAATGTTACAATTACTGTCAAGTATGTTTATAATACATAAATTGAAATTTCAATATTCTTACCTGTACCAGAAATATCCTTCCTGGAAGCAGCAGGCATGTTGATCTGGTTCACTATAAGCCTAAGAAAATAAATCAATAAACCAATAATGCAATGCCAGCACAACTTCAAAGAAATTAAAGAACAAGAAGAGTGAGTCAACTCTTAAAAAAAAAAAGTGAAATCACAGCTTCAAAATAGCTATCTTATATATTACCAATACATTTATTCAATTATGAAGCCATATAGTGGTCTGAAAGTTAAGTTGTCAGTAGAAGTCTGGATACTTATTTATATTAAATGTAAGCTTCTGTACAACGTAAAATAAATATCTTAACAAAGAGGAGATAAGATTGGCTTTATTGACCAGTTATCCCTGATTTTCAGTGACTAGTTTTGTTCAGGATTGAACTCATCAGGCTGATAAATACTCACTCGGCAGGGGCTGTCTTATATACCGTACTGTTCGACCCCGGTAGAAATTTTTACCAGGGTTACTGGGGTTTGACCCCTTCAAAAGTTGGCGGGGTGAAGAATATTTGTTGGGGTTACCTGGGTTGGATGTGAAGTTTGCCTGAGTGGGTGGAGTTTGGGTTTTTTTTTGTGCACCTGGGTGATGGAGAAGGCTTGTGTAAGGGGGGAAGGCTAGTGTAAGGGAGGGATGAGACCAGATAGGCCAACCTGTTATAAAAATAGTCGTTTTGTGAAGTGCCAAACTCTAGCAGTTGAGTATAACCAGTAGTAGTCTACTTTCAATTTTAGTAGCTCAAAATTTTCATGGTCATCACATATTGAATTTTTTAGGAGACATTAAGGATTGGTCAGACTTTCATTCGACTTATTGGAAAGCTTTTAACAAGATTTCTGCAGAAAGTTGTAGAAGGTTGAATTCGTGTTTTAACATGGGTAGAGATGGCAAATGAATTAGTGGAGTTGGTCCTCTCTAGGCTGGCCGGGGGGCTAATACAATCGTTCAAGTAAAAACCTAACACCAAGGCGTTAGTTAGAATGATGCTATGTTAGTTACACACAATCTGACAAAATCAAACGTACGTTTACAAAATAAGACATGTTTAATGTTATCAGATCATTCAGATGTGTGTTAATTGCCTATCTATACAATAAATAGGCCAATAAACAATTTTGTCAACAATTTTGTCGCCATTTTGGATTCTGCAACACCTTTTCCGGTTTGTATGTTTTAAGTCCTAAAAACTTATAGACAGCATGGAAATTACTGTTTGGAGACCTCAAATTTGTTTCGAATCCACACTTTGCTTAATCTAATAGCTAAATCAACAATAATTGCAAGAATAAAGAAATTTACCTGTAAAAAGTTTTGTTATTAGCGGTAATGTACGACAGGTCGAGTACAGCATGAGTCACGTGACAAATATTGTGAAATGTGAGCAGTGATTGGTTGAATTCCATATCTCACTATTTGCGGTATTTGTGATGAATGCCTCTTAAAGGTTGGTTTGGTTTGCCAAATTACCACTCACAAAATTTTGCAAAACAGAAAAAGTTTGATCTTTTGGTACCGACCACTTTCAAAGCTATAAAAGCCACTATAATTTATTACAAATCACTGTTTAGTTTAATAGAGATTGCAGTGATGTGTTAGAAACGAAACAAATAGATGGAGGACAAAGGCATACCTCACAAACCGCCACAATTATAATGGAGTCATTAGATAACGGTGATTAAAATTTATAGTTTTTTTTTAAGTTAATCACGTTTCAAACTTTAAACTCCTATCATAAATTGTGATTATCTATTAGTGAATTTAATCACTACATGCTATTAAGCGAAGGTCTATCAATATCTATATCCAGTATTTAAGACGAGTATTAAGAAATGATAGCAAACAAGATCTTCAAGGGGAATATTTCTTGAGACCCTTAGGCTACACCACTTGTACATTTCATTGTCAACCCTGTCACAAATCTGCCATTAATGACCTTAACAGATATAGATGTAATTGCTGTGTATGATAAAGTACCATAGGTTTAAACAAGTGGGGGGCCAAGAGGGATGTGATTTTTATATAGTAATTGCTTCTGGCATTGGCTTTATCTTAAGTGTTAGCCAATAGTGATTGATACTTATGTCACAAGACTACTAGTACCCACTATCATTACAAGAGGGCATTCTTATATGACGATATTAAAAAAAACTATAACAACAGAACATTTCCACATTACCATTTATACAGTAATCTTAATAAATCATTTACAAATTCAACATGTTTCTAAATATAACTTCACACAAATGGCTGAATTCACAATAATTTGCCTTGTTGACATTGTCTAAATTTGAAATTCAAATCTTTCTTAGCAGATTTTGTCTAAAGCTTTGGCATGTGACAGTAGCTTATTAATATTATATTGGCATATAAATATTCACAATTGATGGTGAATTTCTACCAAAGTAAAAAAACAATATTGTCAGTATCACAAAATCTGTGTTTTGTTTAACAGTCTTCTGGTTCAATATTTTGAAGTTTCAGCCTCTGTGGCAGCCTGGACACATTTAGCCATTGTTTGTGATGCTCTACTGATTGAATCAGTCATGTAAAATTCCTTTAATGTCTTCATTGGTGGACTTAATGGTTCATTGGAAGGTGTCTTCTTAACCAACTATAAAAGATAAATTAAGTTTTTGAAACATAAAAAAGAAGTAAAAATGGTGTGGATATTGGGCCATACTGGGGTTTCTGGGTTATAGGTAAACCGATAAATCTGGCTCCACTGCTTTAATCTTACAGATATACAGGTATAGCTCAATAGTATATACAAATTTCTTTTTGTTTAATAAATATCTTAAGATACATAAGCAGAAAATGACATTATGCTTGAATCTTGCAGTTATCATGCTTTGATCTTGAACTTTTAGTAATTTTTTTGAAGATTTTTTGACAACCATGGCATAAAACTTTGAATACAGCTGTCCTGACACAGATATTTTTTACCTGAGCCAACTCCTGGGCCTGTTTAAAATAATTAGCTTCTTCCACATCACCCACACGAACTAAATTAGGAGCTACTTCAGCCAGACGTCTTCTAACTTCCTGTATCTTATCATAGGGCAGGGAATTACCCATAATCTAAAATGAGCACAATATTCAAGATAGTACCAGACAAGGTAATATACGCTTACTGGTACCTTTGATTTTGAATATAAATATTTGGCAGTACAGTAACAATCACCAGTATGATATAGTCAACCTTCTGTCATACACTTCTTTTGAACTTTTTGAGGAAATACTGAATAATATTAGTAAATTTTGTTAAAATCCTGCAAGAGTTGTGCCCTTTAGTATATACAAGCTAAAAATTGAAAGCGTTTTTAAAAACAAGATCAATAACTCAGATTAGACATTTTTTATTTTTGGATTTACAATAGGGTTCATTCATGGGTGATAATAAATAATTTCACCAAAATCTGTAAAGAATTGTACCATCTATATTGCTGACCAGCTAAAAATTGAACATGTTTTCTAAAACAAGGACAATAACTCATACTAAATATTTTTCGATTCTTCTGATTTTCATTAAGGTTCATCAGTGGGTGACAACACTCACGAAACTTGGTATGAGTGTTCGTAATCACCCAGGGATAAACCCTATTGAAAATGAGCGATATCGAAAAATATTTAGTATGAATTATTGCCCTTGTTCTTGCAAACCCGTTCAATTTTTAGCTCGTAAACACTCTAGAAGGCACAATTCCTGACAGATTTTGACGAAACTTGTTATGAGTGTTCGTTATCACCCAAGGATAGACCCTATTGAAAATCAGCGAAATCGAAAAATATTAAGTATGAATTATTGCCCTTGTTCTTGAAAACGCGTTCAATTTTTAGCTCGTAAACACTCTAGAAGGCATAATTCTTGAAGGATTTTAACGAAACTTGGTATGAGTGTTCGTAATCACCCAAGGATAAACCCTATTGAAAATCAGCGAAATCGAAAAATATTTAGTATGAATTATTGCCCTTGTTCATGAAAACGTATTCAATTTTTAGCCCATAAACACTCTAGAAGGCACAATTCTTGAAGGATTTTAACGAAACTTGTTATGAGTGTTCGTAATCACCCAAGGATAAACCCTATTGAAAATCAGCGAAATCAAAAAATATTTAGTATGAATTATTGCCCTTGTTCTTGAAAACACGTTCAATTTTTAGCTCGTAATCACTCTACAGGGCACAATTCTTGATGGATTTTAACGAAACTTCGTATGAGTGTTTGTAATCACCCAAGGATAAACCATATTGAAAATCAGTGAAATAGAAGAATATTTAGTATGAATTATTGCCCTTGTTCTTGCAAACCGTTCAATTTTTAGCTCGTAAACACTCTAGAAGGCACAATTCTTGACAGATTTTGACGAAACTTGGTATGAGTGTTCGTATTCACCCAAGGATAAACCCTATAGAAAAATCACGGAAATCAAAAAATATGTAGTATGAATTATTGCCCTTGTTCTTGAAAACGCGTTCAATTTTTAGCTCGTAAACACTCTAGGAGGCACAATTCTTGACAGACTCTACAAGTCACAATTTTTTTGTTCATAATCACAATTTACAATAGATGTCATTATTTTCCTGAGAAACTATTTTGGTTAACAAATAAGAAAATTTAATTTAATCATTTAACATGTCCCTAACCAGCCACCATACATGTACAGCATCATAAGATACTATAAATAGACCAAGTGGAAAATCAAAGACAGATATCCAATCATAGCTTAGTCATGTGACATCCCAAGATGCAGCAGTTTATCTGATTTCATTTTATAAATGTCATTCAAGAGAAAAGGTTTGCTTAATCATTTCATTTTCACCAATTGTGCTGATACAAAAATGAAATTAAACATGGGTCATAGGGGAAAGGTTTTGTTTCTTGGAAGATTGAATTGAGTTGCTGGATAAGTAGGCTACTATAGGAATATAATCTGCAAATACACAATTCATGACAGACTTATTGAAATCACCCAAGGATAAATCTGATCAAAAATCTTGTAAAACATGTAATTTTTATTCTACAAAGCAGAAGTCTAAAACAAATTTTACAACTTGATGAAATTGATCACAATCAAAACTAAACCTTTTGAAATATAAAATACAAGTTATTGCCGTTATTCTTATAAATGTGTTTGATTTTTAACTTGTGATGGCACAGTTTGTGATGGATTTGAGTATAAGTTGAATATTTCCTGGTGTCTATGTTTGCTATTTTCTAACAAATATTCAATTTCAAACAAAGCTATCAGTGGGCGTATATTACCTTGCCTGGCAAGCTATCTTTCTGATTTTCAATAGGGTTCATCCTTTGATGATAACAAACACTCACACCAAGTTTTGTCAAAATCGGTCAAGAATTGTGCCTACTGGAGAATTTATGTGCTAAAAATTGAATGCTTTTTAAAGAACAAGGGCAATAACGTTTATCTCTTACAATTGATGACTTGAATTTATTTCACTTTAGTTTCCGTTTTTATTTTCTTGTTAATGTTTTACACTGATTCTGTTTGGCAATTCTAAAATCTAATATAAAATATATCTTAAAGATAGCTTGCCAGGCAAGGTAACATACGCCCACTACCAGCTGTCAATGATAACAAAGTCTGTAGTGGTTTAACATGTGAAACTTTACTTTTTTATAATCTGATCTAATTTCCCAAAACTCCACTTTTGAACTCTACTATCAAATTAACCTTAATTTAGATTTAGACATGTGTGAATGCCATTCATGTTAAGGTCAATATCAAGTCATACCTCAGATAGAGCTCTGATGATTTTCCAGTCATTTCTAGCTAAACCAGGGGGAGTAACAGCTTGTCGTGTTAGTTGAGCTCGACCCTCTGTATTAACATACGTCACATCTTTCTCTGTGTAGGCAGCACCAGGGAATATAACATCTGCCATTGAGGCTCCTCTATCTCCATGGTGTCCTGTTAATAAAATAAGTTATAGAGTTTTCTTCCTGGTCATCACTCAATTCATGCTTAAAGAGCTTACTATATTACAGTCATCTCAAAACTAAGAAACTTCCAATACTAACAATAAGGGGACATGTTTGCATTTCCAACAATGCCCTTTTCTTTGATAAAATAATAGTTGACATACCTAGCTGCAGAATGGCAGGAGGTATCACAGAAAACACCCGGGGGAAAGTTTTAAATTGCTATTAAAAGAAACCTACCTTGATAGATAATGAAAGTATCTTTAGGGAGATCCTCTCTAGTTAAGACAGCTTCATCAGCTCCAAGAAGATACAATACTTTAGGTGGGTTGGCCCTAATATAATCTACACCAGCCTTATAACCTAGATCTAATGCTGCTACTTGACTGGCAACCTAAAAACACATCAACACATATTAGGTGACAATAAGTTTATATAGTGAGTTTCAACAAGTTGTTATTACGAAAATAACCATGAACATGAAAACAAGTTAACCTGTTGTTGTATTTCTCTACACAATAGACTTTATTATTGACACAACCTGGCCCAGGGCCCGTTTCACAACCTTTTCATTTAGTTAAAGTCAAATTAGCAAATAAAGCTGAATTTAAAATTGATTTTAGCTATTGACCATTCTATTCTATTTACATACATTAAATTTAAGTATAAATCAAAAGACTGGCATACCCTGTGTAGAACATTTAAAACTTTCCAGTCATCTCCACAACCAGACTGTACCCGTATATCTTGAGCCAGTCTAGTTATAGCTGAGTGTAGAGCTCCACCATCAGATCTCTGTAATATGGCACTACCAACCACTATAACTGGACGTTTAGCAGAGGCCAATCTCTGAAAAATAGGAAGAGAAATCAAGTTAAGAAATATGTATGAAAACTTGAAGACAATTAAGGAAACAGTTCCATGTTCATATTGACTTATGAAAAACAAGGGTTAATATTAACAAAAAAATTTGTATCATTCAAATTCAGTTTCTAGTTCCGCACGGCTGTACTAATTCCTTTTAGTAATTAGTATTCACCATCCAGTCGCGTGTCACTGTGAGTTATTCTTATTGGCTAATTGGCAGTATTTCTTCTGTCGAGTGATCGGTGTCAAATAAATCCTCATTGTGAGATTTAGCAATTAATTTAACGTTCACTTATAACTATTTCATTCAATCATACCTGAATACCATTTATCAGTCAGTCATACTTCAATGTCATCTTTCGTTCTGTCTTACCTGAATTGTAATATGACTACGATACACATCAAATGTTAGCCCTACGAAGTTATGGCCTGGAAATTTGTGTTTATATATAACCTAAGCTGTCTACTGGATTGGTGTATTTACGATGACTCGTTGATGGGTTTTTAATAAAGCGTCATTGAGAGAATATGCAATTAATATAATGAGTTACACGAAAACCATCTTTTTCTAGTAATACTAGAATTTAATTTTTAGTTCAGTCATACCCATTTACAATCGTGGCTACGGAAAACATAAAAAGTTATCGCTACGAAGATAATGCATGGAAAATTTTGTTTATAAATAAGCGAATCCTAATTCTAATAAATGTTGTTATTATCATGCTTTATAATTGAAATGGAAAATTATAAACAAACAGAGTACTTCCCGATGTATTGGTCCTATAGGCCTACAGTAGACACAATCATGTCTTTCATAACATATTGCCTATTTGACACTTGACAGGTTTCTACATAGGAAGGGACATAACTCTAGTTATGGTATGGCATGTTTTAAGTATCTGGAAATTCATCAAACCACACGATTTTATCGGGAAAGGAAATGTGCAGATAAATGAGACTCCACTGTATTTGTCAATCCAACAAAGCTGGAAATAATATTACTTACCTTTGAGAAAGGATGATTTCCTGACACCAGTTTATCCAAATCATTTGCTGTTTCACCAAGGTGCTAAAATACATATATATATAAGCATTAAATCATTCAGCTCAGTTTTTAATTTATCATGATCATTATATATAGCATTGTAGATATTACAGATGTGACATTATGGGCTGTGTGAAAATGTTTATTACATCCCTGCAAGTGACAATACTCCTATCAACACTTTGTGACGTAAGCGGCCATGTCAAAGTTCATAGGGGAAAAGCCGCTTACGTCAATGTGCGCGTAATAATAAACAACAATCGTCAGAATCACTTCTTGAAATAAAAATGCTTTAAATCGCCCATACTAGTCGTCAATGAAGACATTTTATTCTTTCAGTGATACAATGCCATACTCTTGTTCGTTTATGAGATCCTTTGCGGCTTTGGCCTACTGTCTGCAAATTTGTTGATGGGCCTACCCTAGGCCTACAAATCGAAATTTGCCGATTTTTTATTTAACAGCTTTAACTTTATAACGGTGGATCAACTTGCATTGATGAAAATATAATTTTTTTGTAAGTTTATACCAAATGTTAACAAGATTCACTCCCAGAAATTTCAACCCAAAATGTAATGAATTTTTGCTGAAATATATGAAAAAATAATTTCAAAGTAAGCTAATAATAGTAGTAATGTGTGTTCATTATCTTGTTTTTATTTCTATCAACAGTACCATTTTGAAGCTGACATTTTAATTCCCATAATACTGATTGCCTTTGAATAACAAAAGTCAAATTGTCACTAAAATTGTTAGTCAAAATAGCCTATGACCAAAATGGGATATTTTTCATTGAAATTTCTGTGATGTTTGATTCTATTCAATGTATACTGCCTCAACTACCACCAAATAGGCTACCAAAATGAATTTTACCTCCTACTTTTCTGCACCTGATTGGGCCAATAAAAACGATTAACACCATGCAGTGTGCAAGGAGGAAAATTTTGCATGGACAGCAGCATCAGACAGTTTTTTTTTCAATTTTTTCAAGGATCTTTAATATTATGCACAAACTGTAGTACACAGGGGCTCGGTTTATTGTCACATCTGAGACGCCCTTTCCATGTCATCTCCATTGACCTACTAGGCCTATATTACTGACAGGGGGAAACCCTGCTCAACTTCCACAGGCACTCCTTCAAAAGATTTTTTCCTTGATTTTGTTTTTTTTATTGATCTTAATTGAAATGATCATTTTTCTATGTTTATATCATGCTTATTTGTTACATAATCTCTTACATAACCACTTTTTTCTAGGGATATCATACTTATATAGTTAATACTTTAAGGTAGGCCTACCAGTATAAAAATGAATGAATATTAAACAAATAAAAGAGGGACTGGAGGATATCCAACAAGTTTCTGTGATAATACTGATAACTGCAAGAGAATCTAACCATATAAACTTTGATCATGTGAACCTTCATGGCATTTTTATGGGTTTGTTCTTTACATGATCAAAGTTTTTATTGTAATTTGTGGGAAACAAGTTAAAGGAATAGTTTAGTTAAATCATGTTCAGTTGCTTCACAAAAGAAAAGAACCATGTGAAGTACATAAATGTAAAAAGGAAACCTACATTCTGTTGCTTTGAAAAAGTGGATATAATATTGTAAATCTGAAAATGAACTTGGGTTACACACCAAGACAAGCTACAAAATGTATGCCCCACAACCCCCTCATTTCAGAGGCATTATAAAAAAAAACAAAAGATAATGACCTTTTAATATAGGATTTAAATTAAATACATGTTTAGTGAAGTAATCTTATTGAAGGAACAGGAATAAAAACTGGAAAAAGAAGCTGATATGCACACTAACATAAATCATATCTGCTTACATCTGCACAAGAATGCATTTTGGAAATTTAAATAATGCCTAGCCAATTTTGTAATATTGTCAATATTATTGGGGTATCTCCTTCACATTGACAATTGTTTTAACTCATTTACTTGATTATGTCAGATATATTAAAAGGTTAATTTTTCATTAGCCTCACCAGTTATTGCCAGTGTTCATGCATTCATATTCATGCCGCATGGTTCTGACAATAGTGGGTGGATCTGATAAGGCTTGGCCTCAATTCTTGGCAGATATCAATTTTCACAATGATTTTTTTTCATTGGGAGATTGAACCACCTTAATTTTTAAAACAGACGCAGTATAGCAAAGAACCGCTTATTCACTTTTTGTGTCGTCCTTTTCCTCTCTTTTAACAACTCGTTATGTAGTTGCACATTGCACTAACTTTCCAAGTAAAACCATTATGTAAAGAATTGTCTTGGCCCGTAGCCCATTATAAAAGTAATATCGTTTCAAATGCCAATTGTTTAAAAGGAAAAGCATATAAAAAATCACGTAAAAATGTATCAAAATAAGTTCCAAACTACGCATCATCCTTTCTATTTAACCTGGCCGCCATGTTGTTTATAGTGGTAACGTCAGATGTTTTCCCCTACTACCTTTTGACCTGCACCGCCCTATTGAAAATAACGTTAGTGTTGATAGGAGTATTGTCTGAAACCTCTATGGTGCCTTATGGCTGAATTTAACAACACTGAAAATTGTCAATCTAGTGTTAAGGATTATTAAATTTTAATTACCTCATATTCAAAGGACAGATCAACTGGAGAACCAAGTAAAGCTACATCTAGTTCATTATGTACCCAACTGAAATAAATTATGTTAAATTACCAATTCAGTTATACATATGGTCAACTAACAAACTTTCCCCAAGGTCAAAGAGGTTATAATTTTGAGACTTTCATATTTACCTTATCATAATGGCTATACAAACCATAGAAAGAACATATCCCATTTTACATCACTGATATAAAATATGTTAATGGAAACCTCATTTAATCTTCTGCATTTCAAATGCATTAGCCACAAAATTCGACCAGCTCATGAAATGAGGCTTTTCGTGACAAAATAATTGACAAGAAAACTCTACCTCTTTCTAAGTCTAGCATTAAATATAGGAGCTTCATATCTCGGGTTGGTACCAATTAAAACAACTAGATCAGCTTCTTCTATACCAGCAATAGTTGTATTCAATAAATAATTAGATCTTAAATCAGTTCTAAAAACAAAGCATCAGAAGGTGGTTACTAGAAAAATAGGTATGAATGATTCAATATTTAACATCAGAAATGTAAATTCCACACACCATTCTATAGAAAATTATACAAAATCACCAAAACTAAATGTTAATATTTGAAATTTTGTATTCAGTCTGTGTGTAAATGTTGGTCATGTTTTTCTAAAAAAAAAAAAGAAATGATAGGTTAAAATGCTCATACCCTGCACCATCCATCGGGAACATCTCTTCAGTGCATAGTCCCTCACTGCCCAGCTTGTTGAGAAAATCTTTCAATGAAACTAGAGCTTCCGCATCAGCAAGGCCACCAGCAATGGCTGCTATTTCATTTCCAGATACAGCATTCAACTGAAAAAATTCGAGAAGTCTTTGAACCTATCTAATCCAATAATATTCTTCTCATTTGAAGTATGATCTCTATATTTATGGAAAGAATAATGAAAAAAAAATTATAGAATTGGCTATCAATTGACATTCTAGAGGTTAGTTAGGAAAAGGAATAAAGATTCATCAATGCAGGCATTCTTAACATAACTCATAAATATATTTTAATACATAAGTCAACAACCAAGTCTAGAGTCTTTGTCTTACTCACTTTATGTGCTGCTGCAATAAATGCATTTTCCCAATCACTTTCTTCCAGAATTCCATTTTTGTTTTTCATAAATGGTGAAGTTAATCTCTGTCTCTTCAAACCATCATAGGCAAATCTTGTTTTATCAGAAATCCACTCTTCATTGACTTCCTGTTAATAACAAATAGATGAAATAATTAAACTCAATGAAATGGGGTTTTACAATCTAGTCCACTACAGGCCAATGCAGCTGACAAGGACGATTTTTAAGCAAAATCTTTTACGATTTCCAATTGTCTGTTGCCTCAGTTCATTGTCCCATTAAAACAACAAGATATTTTACGTCAAACTCACTGTATCACCGACAAGGGGAAACTGAGGAAATCCAGCAAGTATACAATTAATCAGCATTATAAACATGAGTGTGTGCAATGATAAAGACTTAATGCAGATTCAAAACATGGAATCAGATCTTACCTCATTTAACCTGGGAACAATTCTCATTACTTCATTAGTCCTCATAGTAACAACAATATTACTACCGACAGCATCCATTACATCTATACTTTCTATTTTTCTATAATAAAATAATAACTTCATTAGTCCTCATAGTAACAACAATATTACTACCAACAGCATCCATTACATCTATACTTTCTATTTTTCTATAATAATATAATAACTTCATTAGTCCTCATAGTAACAACAATGTTACTACCAACAGCATCCATTACATCTATACTTTCTATTTTTCTATAATAAAATAATAACTTCATTAGTCTACATAGTAACTACAATACTACTACCGACAGCATCCATTACATCTATACTTTCTATTTTTCTATAATAATATAATAACTTCATTAGTCCTCATAGTAACAACAATACTACTACCAACAGCATCCATTACATCTATACTTTCTATTTTTCTATAATAATATAACAACTTCATTAGTCCTCATAGTAACAACAATATTACTACCAACAGCATCCATTACATCTATACTTTCTATTTTTCTATAATAGAATAATAACTTCATTAGTCTACATAGTAACTACAATACTACTACCGACAGCATCCATTACATCTATACTTTCTATTTTTCTATAATAAAATAATAACTTCATTAGTCCTCATAGTAACAACAATATTACTACCAACAGCATCCATTACATCTATACTTTCTATTTTTCTATAATAATATAATAATTTCATTAGTCCTCATAGTAATTACAATATTACTACCAACAGCATCCATTACATCTATACTTTCGATTTTTCTATAATAATATAATAACTTCATTAGTCCTCATAGTAACAACAATACTACTACCAACAGCATCCATTACATCCATACTTTCTATTTTTCTATAATAATAATAATAATAACTTCATTAGTCCACATAGTAACTACAATACTACTACCAACAGCGTCCATTACATCTATACTTTCTATTTTTCTATAATAAAATAATAACTTCATTAGTCAACATAGTAACTACAATACTACTACCAACAGCATCCATTACATCTTTACTTTCTATTTTTCTATAATAAAATAATAACTTCATTAGTCCTCATAGTAACAACAATATTACTACCAACAGCATCCATTACATCCATACTTCCTATTTTTCTATAATAAAATAATAACTTCATTAGTCCTCATAGTAACAACGATATTACTACCAACAGCATCCATTACATCTATACTTTCTATTTTTCTATAATAATATAATAATTTCATTAGTCCTCATAGTAATTACGATATTACTACCAACAGAATCCATTACATCTACACTTTCTATTTTTCTATAATAATATAATAACTTCATTAGTCCTCATAGTAACAACAATATTACTACTAACAGCATCCATTACATCTATAATTTCTATTTTTCTATAATAATATAACAACTCCATTAGTCCTCATAGTAACAACAATATTACTACCAACAGCATCCATTACATCCATACTTTCTATTTTTCTATAATAATAATAATAACTTCATTAGTCCACATAGTAACTACAATACTACTACCGACAGCATTCATTACATCTATACTTTCTATTTTTCTATAATAATAATAATAATAACTTCATTAGTCCTCATAGTAACAACAATACTACTACCGACAGAATCCATTACATCTTTACTTTCTACTTTTCTATAATAAAATAATAACTTCATTATTCCACATAGTAACTACAATACTACTACCAACAGCATCCATTACATCTATACTTTCTACTTTTCTATAATAAAATAATAACTTCATTAGTCCACATAGTAACTACAATACTACTACCAACAGAATCCATTACATCTATACTTTCTACTTTTCTATAATAAAATAATAACTTCATTATTCCACATAGTAACTACAATACTACTACCAACAGCATCTATTACATCTATACTTTCTATTTTTCTATAATAATATAATAATTTCATTAGTCCTCATAGTAATTACGATATTACTACCGACAGCATCCATTACATCTATACTTTCTATTTTTCTATAATAAAATAATAACTTCATTATTCCTCATAGTAACTACAATACTACTACCAACAGCATCCATTACATCTATACTTTCTATTTTTCTATAATAATATAATAATTTCATTAGTCCTCATAGTAATTACGATATTACTACCAACAGAATCCATTACATCTACACTTTCTATAATACAATAACAATTATAACCTTAGTTCTCACAATGTTAAGACGGTAAACTGCTATTGTGAGGAACCTTAACTACAGAGCAGGTTTCATGTTCCAGAAAAGGTATGAACTTTAGGAATCAGACAAAAAATATAATTAAAGAATCATATACTTACTTGGTTTCCCAAGGTCGAGCTGTGAAAGCGTAAGGTTTTGATGTCAATGCGCCAACAGGACAAAGATCTATGACATTGCCAGACAATTCGGATTTTAACATTTTTTCTACATATGTACCAACTTGCATGTCATTTCCACGTCCTGTTGTTCCTAAATCATCAACACCAGCTACTTCACTGGCAAATCTGAAAAATCACAATCGATATGAATTTACACCAAAGAATCAAGGTAAATAGATTATAGTATTATGGAGATTTAGAGACATAATTTCACTTTAAGAACAACTGATGGAAATTCAACGAGCAATAAATGAATGAACAACTCTTTAAGAAATAGCAATAGCAATAACTGCATCTTAGATCTGTTGGTCATAACTGTGAAACACCTGTTGCTACTCTATAGATCCGCATCTCTCTTGCAGAATCCACGTAACTCATTGATTCTATTTACTACTTTATTTCACTTCACTGTAGAAAATAATTCATTAAAGCAATACTGGTACTGACCAATCCAGAGAATTTCTTTAGTGACTAAAGTATGAATTTTTATTAGTTTGAATTCAATTATATATATATATATGCCAGTTATTTACACTGAGTAATTCCACAAAATTTTTTAACAATTAAACAAACAATTAAATCACACAGCTCTAATTAAGGGCTAAAAACAACTTTTGACGCGTGTTTACAAAGTCAAGGGCAGTAACTCAAAAACCGTTCATCGAAAATGAGTCAAGTCAGAACTTGTCCGAGATCTTATCAATTCCAATGATCACACCAAGTTTCATCGGAATCGGTTGAAAACTATAGCTTCTATAATGCTCGCGAACAACTTTTGACGCGTTTTTACAAAGTCAAGGACAATAACTCAAAAACAGATCATCGAAACTGCGTCAAGTTAGAACTTGTCCGGGATCTTATCAATTCCAATAATCGCACCAAGTTTCATCAGAATCGGTTGAAAGCTGTAGCGTCAATCCTGCTCACAAACTATTTTTAACAAATTTCGATGCGTTTTAACAAAGTCAAGGGCAATATCTTTATCGAATATATGTCAACTTCGAACTTGACCGAGATCTTATCAATTACTCAAAAACTGTTCATCGAAAATGCATCAAGTTAGAACTTGTCTGAGATCTTATCAATTCCAATAATCACACCAAGTTTCATCAGAATCAGTTGAAAACTGTAGATTCAATCCTGCTCATGAACTATTTTTAACAAATTTAGATGCGTTTTTACAAAGTCAAGGGCAATAACTCAAAAACTGTTCATCGAAAATGGGTCAAGATAAAACTTGTCCGAGATCTTATCAATTCCAATGATCACACCAAGTTTCATCAGAATCAGTTGAAAACTGTAGCTTCAATCCTGCTCACAAACTATTTTTAACAAATTCAGACGCGTTTTAACAAAGTCAAGGGCAATAACTCTAAAACCGATCATCGAAAATGTGTCAAGTTAGAACTTGTCCGAGATCTTATCAATTCCAATGATCACACCAATTTTCATCAGAATCGGTTGAAAACTGTAGCTTCAATCCTGCTCACGATCTATTTTTAACAAATTTTGACGCGCTTTTACAAAGGCAAGGACAATAACTCAAAAACCATTCATCAAAAATGTGTCAAGTTAGAACTTGTCCGAGATCTTATCAATTCAAATGATCACACCCAGTTTCATCAGAATCGGATGAAAACTGTAGCTTCAATCCTGCTCACGAATTATTTTTAACAAATTTTGACGCGTTTTAACAAAGTCAAGGGCAATAACTCAAAAACCGTTCATCGAAAATATGTCAAATTAGAACTTGATCGAGTTCTTATCAATCTAAAGCATCACACCAAGTTTTATCAAAATCAGATAAAAACTGTAGTCTCTATAGTGCTCACAAGAAATGTTGACGGACGGGCCGACGGACAGGGGCGACGACAATATACGACCACATATTCATGTGGGCGTATAAAAATGATTATTAAGTAGATTAGGCAATATGAGTATGGTCTCTTTACCTGATACAGCGTGTACAATGAATACATCTGGTCATGATAGTTTTAACTAATGGTCCAATATTTTTATCTTCTACTGCTCTGTAATATAGAAACAAAAACGTTTACCATAGTTGTTGAATAAACCATGGCAAAGTTAAATATTTTATGTCTAATGGTCAGATACTGTGAAGCAAAAGGGAAGGCCATTGTTGCCAGCTGGGCAGAGCAAGCTCGCTCTTCTATAACACCTGATGCCACTCTGTTACTGGGATTGTCAACTTGGTATTTTTTTTCGCAGAGACCAAATAGCAAGTAATGTTTGTTTGGTAATATTTCTGCTCCAGGAATACTAAATATGACACACAATTTCAACTTCAACTAGAAATGTATTTTACATGTAATTATATAGTATTCCTTATTAATACACTAACAATCTAATGATCATTGATATCAATTCTGTGATATCCGACATCTGAGTATTCCATTATTCTACGTAATTCGACATGTTTTTTCAGTCCTGATTGATTTCCTTCTTATGTCAATTTTAAAAACACTAATCAGTGATCCCAACACTCAAAAACATCTGTATAATCCAACATCTAGTCATCTTAATCACTTATTGTCAATCAGATAATCGCTTGTATTATTGATTATCCAACATAAAATCGCATAAAAACAAAAGATCGCTGATATCAATTCTTCCGATTAATCACTGCCAATGACCTCGCCTCAAGATCAAAGTTACACCATAACTAAATATGCAACTTGACCATTATTTATTGCATGTTATATCACAATTCTCAAGCATTTTAATTACAATATCCGAATGTCATGCAAATTATTGGAGATTATCAAAAAGTGCTGTGTCCTATGAAATTTGGTTTACATCGATCAACATTAAGCAGCATTTCAAAACAAAGAACAATTCGAAAAAGAGATTGCCAACAAAATCAATTCCAATAAAGAAAACATGTACAGTAGCTCAAACTATGAACAATTAAATAATAATAATGTAATATAAAAAAAATATTGTTGTTTTACGGTCCCAGTGTATGTCAGATTACACCGAGTATACTGTATATTATACCTTTTGCCTGTATAAGCACTGTCTGTAAATCTACTTCTGTCACTACCAAATACCATTGACTGATCCTACAATACAAATTAAAACAAATTCAGTATTAAAGCTAGACAAAGTTTTGATGACTACAAAATTGTAAGAAAATTTTGTTTTAGATGAATCCAGGGGGCATTTCCACAAAAAAATTCCCACAATAAATCTCGCCATAAGTATGGTATGTAAACTACAACACTTTTATCAAGACTTTTTGAGGTTTGGGGCCCAATTTATCTGGATGCGAAATATAGTAACACCAAGGTCAATGATTCCAGTGACCTACCTGAAGATCACATTCTCCACCTTGATCACAGATAGGACAATCTAATGGATGATTTACTAGTAGGAACTCCATAACACCTTCTCTAAAATAACAATTAATTCAAAATTATCAATACTAAGATGGATCTTGAATATAAGATAATATGTAATATTAAAGGGGATTTTACGTTGTAAATTACCCTGAAAATATTTCTATTGTAAGCTACTTATATCTTTGAATCTTCTTGATCAAACTGAATTTATTTTAAAAGTGGAGTACCAATTGTCGATTAAGCAGTTTGACCTAATTATGGTGTTTGGCTTTATAATGACTAGATATCATTAGTTGAAACCCTTCAAATATGTTTCGAATTATCCGTGTTAAATGAATGTTAAAATAACCACTCGTAAATTTAGGGTACTCTGTGATATATAGAAAAGACAAATATAAGAAAAGATAGCTTGGTAATATATGCCCACTGGCAGTTTTGATTTTAAATAAAAATATTTAGCAGTACAGTTGAATTATTCAACCTTCAGTCATACACTTCTTTTGAACTATTTAGAGCAATACTGAATAATATTACAAAGTTTTGTAAAAATCTGGCAAGAATTATGCCTATTAGTGTTTAAGGGCTAAAATTTGAAAGCGTTTTCAAGAACAAGGTCATTAACTCCTACAAAATATTTGGTTTTCTTTTTATTTCGATAGGGTTCATCCTTGGACGATTACAAACACTCACACCAAGTCTTGTCAAAATCCGTCAAGAATTGTGCCTTCTAGAGAGTTTATGAGCTAAAAATTGAATGCATTTTCAAGAACAAGGGCAATAACTCATGCTAATTATATTTCGATTTTTCTGATTTTTAATAGGTCTTATCCTTGGGTGATTACAAACACTAACACCAAGTTTTGTCAAAATCTGTCAATGATAGAACCTTCTAGAGCGTTTACGAGATAAAAATTGAACGCGTTTTCAAGAACAAGGGCAACAATTTATACTAAACATTTATTAAAGCTAGACAAAGTTTTGATGACTACAAAATTGTAAGAAAATTTTGTTTTAGATGAATCCAGGGGGCATTTCCACAAAAAAATTCCCACAATCAATCCCGCCATAAGTATGGTATGTAAACTACAACACTTTTATCAAGACTTTTTGAGGTTTGGGGCCCAATTTATCTGGATGTGATAATTATAGAGCGTTTACGAGATACAAATTGAACGCGTTTTCAAGAACAAGGGCAACAATTTATACTAAATATTTTTCGATTTTTCTAATTTTCGATAGGGTTTATCCTTGGGTGCTAACAAACATTCACACCAAGTTTCGTCTAAATCAATCTAGAGTGTTTACAAGCTAAATTGAATACGTTTTCAAGGACAAGGCAATAACTCATAATTATTATTTTTCGATTTTTCTGATTTTTAATATGGTTCATCCTTGGGAGATAACAAACACTCACACCAGGTTTCATCAAAATCCGTCAAGACTTGCACCTTTTCGATTGTTAACCAGCGTTTCAAAAAACTTATACAAAATATTTTTCAATTTTTCTGATTTTCAATAGGGTTCATCCTTGGGTGATTACAAACAAAAATAACAAGTTTTGTCGAAATCAGTCAAGAATTGTGCCATGTAGAGTGTTTACGACAATTGTGGGTGGACAGACGGAAGGACGGACATGGGTGAAGGCAATATAAATTTCATGTGGGTGTATAGAAATTTGATAATTGCCATTTAAATATTCACAACTTAAAACATAATCTTAAAAAATACCCACAAATATTTACCTGGCTTTTCTAGATACAGGTGAATCAGTCTTCACTCTCATACCTTTCATTACTGGCATAGCACAAGATGCAATAGGCTGAAACACAAGTTATGTTACCACTAGAGAGGCATAAGGAATTTAAATACCATTTGGCAAATGGATTCAAATAAGCAATACCACACGAAGTATCCTTTAATGCATGAACGGTTCAAATATCTGTATAGATGAATACTAAATTCATAGGTGCTTTTTCATCAAGAATTTAATCAAATAAGAGCTAGCATTACTTACTTTTGGTGATTTTTCAACTTCTACTAAACACATTCTACAATTACCAGCTATAGACAATCTATCATGGTAACAAAATCTAGGAATTTCTACACCACCTTCAGCACATGCCTACAACAAATTAGCAGTGTAGACTCTACACTGAGGAGTTACACACTCACAAAGATGAAAACTGGGTATGAGAGTAATGTTTATTAAATCAGAATCCAGGTACAGTATATAACAATAAATTATGTGATAAAATAAGCCTCATTAGTAACTGAAATACTTTTTTACCTGTAAAACAGTAGTACCAGGTTCTACATAAACTGGTTTACCATCAATAAATACTTCCACTTTCTCAGGGGAAGCAGCCGGAGCAGAGGAATACTTGGCTTAAATAACAAGTCCAATTTAAATAACTGGTTATCAAATAAAGGTTCAATCAGTTATGGAAGTTAATATTCAAAACAATGGAATCAGTATAAATTTAATGAAAAATACATTTAATTGTGGCAGTACCCTGCCTTTAAAGAAATCTAAAAACAAAATACAAACCTAAGGCTGAAAGTGGTGTTTTAGCCACATGTCTCAATGGCCACAATCTAAGCATTCTGATTCTGAAATAATGAAGAACAGCATGGGTAATCAATTGTCATTAAAGGGATCATAAAGAGGATTTTCAACACTTTTATGTGTATTTGCACCATTTCCAATTTATAATGTTTGTGGTTTGTGCAATTCAACTAAGACTAAGTGTTTGGTGACATCACTAATCGCGGTGGGTCTTAAGTGGTAAAACATATGTCACGATTAGTGACACCATCCAACACCAATTTTAAGTGAAATTGCAAGAACCATAGACGTCTGAATGAAAATTGGAATGGTGCAATTTGATACACATTAAATTTAGTAACCCTTGTTACAATGCCTTTAATTCATTCACATTGCTTATCAATATGATTATGAAGTGGCCCTAGCTAGAATAAAGTGTCTTATAGATTTTGAGTACTGGTATTGAATGGGGTATTTTGTGTCGCCAAGTGGGCTTTTCTGAATGTATCAAATACTATTACTGTTTTATCTGTGTCTGTGTAAGACAGTATTATGAAAAAAAGATTATGAACATGCCTCAAAAACCCATCATTCACTGTTTTTGTTTAAGAGTTGTCAAAATGATGATAGGCCTAGATGTTAAGTGTCTGTGTTTATTGTTGGTATTTTTATCAATGCAATTTCTGACAATCTGAATACCTAGAAGATGGTATTTAAATTTACATAAAAATGATTGAATTAGTCTAGGCTTATTCGAATAGAATGCCCAGTGGAAATACAGTAAAATAGAGCCAGAGGTTATCTTTTCGGTTTTCCTTTCCAGACATACGTTTCATAACAAGTCCAAGCCGAATTTGACATTAATATGTACGTCTCATGCGCAATGACACTGAATGTATAAAAACAACATCATTTTGTTCGCAAGAAATGAAATTTAAGCCTTTACACGTAATTACCTGTATCTGTCAGCAGATTTATCTGCAAAATGCTAAAAATCCTTCAAGAGGACGAAAATTCTCTTGCCGTACGGTATCCGGCTTCTTGAAATTTTGGAACAAATTTTACCGTCAGACGAACGAAACGAAAATACATTATTAGACCTTTAATATAGTCTATTAGTTTTAGAGCTTTGTCATCTTTCAAAAATTGATTTTGTTAAAATAAGTCCAATCGAATTCTTGTTCAAAATGTTTTATTTTAGCTTAACCGATGACATTTAACATAAGACCTACCCTAAATAAGTGCAAAAACTCTTAGCAAGTTTTAAGGTCTGCAAAAAGCAATCACCTTTGTGCGTTGAGAAGGAATGTCAAATATTTTCTAAGTATCATTATCGTCTGCTCCAGTTTGATTGTTATGAAAGCCCACTAATATTGTAGCTTATCAGAATTAATTATTCTCATTGTCAAAAATGAATGGTGTATCAATGATGTTACGTGTTCTTTGTTGTTTGATGTTCATGGTTTTGTATATTAGATTGTGATAGCTTAAGTGCCTTGTACATCCTTTTCTGTACAATGTACTTGATCACAGCAACATAATCTGTCCATTTAATACGCTACACATGGAGGTCTATTTGTGTAGGCCTAATTTTTTAAACAAATTCTAGAGCTAGGGCCTACATCGAATTATTGTGTAGATTTTCTTTATTTTCCCCTTGGGCTGAATGTTATAGGCCTACAGGACCATATCCTTGTGTGTTGGGCCTAATTCTGACTCAGAGTTTTTATTATTATCTGTGTTGGTGTCTGTGTTCAATATTGTATCAAAGGGGTCACAAAATACATAATTCTAACAATACAATAGTTATTTTATTTCAATGTAAAATATTTCAATAATATCACATTTATAAAACAAAATGGTCCTTAAAATTAATTACTTTTTTATCAACAAGTTTGTAAACTACATTCAATTTCAACTGGAATTATGATGTATTATTTACACTAGTTTGTATCAATTGATACTAAGAAAAAAAATGTGTGACCTTGATCTTCATTATGCAATTTTTGGCAAATTTTATCTTTTAACTAGCGGTAAGCCTACATCATAATTAAGATCAAATACAATCTACCATATGAGTTAATTTGTAAAACAATTTTATATTGCTAAAAAAATACATCAATAGAAAAAAAGATTAACAACAGGCCCTTTTACACGAGTTGGACTTGGATTGACGGATTTACTGACCCGGGTTGACTCTGGAGTTTAAAACTCCGTGCAGCCCTGGAGTCAACTCTCAGATTTTTCGACCTATGAACAACTGCCCCTTGGCCAACTGATCCCAGTGATTTTATTCTCGTGTAAAATATATATATTATATTTACATACACATATATATATATATATATATATACACAGACAAAAATTTCATTAAAAGTCATTGACTATTTATTACAGTTACATAGAAGCACAACTCCATCGAATGTTCACAGAACCCACATGACATTGATTAATGCTGCAGACTGACTTTAGTCACCTAATTACAAATTTTTTTTCATTCATGTAAGGAAAGAAAGAATTGCCTGTGACCCTTACTGGGCCCCCCTCATCTAATAATTCATTGAAAAGTCCCTGTTCCCGAAAATATTTGTGTGCTAGTCTGAACAGAATTTATTCAAATACTTGTTTTATATCTTCTATATTTGAATTACAGACTGGACAATTGTTTCTTTTTTCAATCAGAGTTATTGCACATGTTTTACAGTAGTTATAATGCCCACAAGGTTGTAAGAGATATGTTTTTCTTTCTATTTTACACATACAACACAATATCTTCTCTGTCTGAAATATAAAATGTTTGAATAATTTTATTGTGAAACAAGTTGTTACTAATAGTTTATGCTGTGTGATTTGATCCCATGTGTTGACCCCGGTATTGTCAACAAAGAAATTTATAGTTATGGGATAAGAAGGTTTGGTTGGGCTCAGGTTGTACCTGTGGAAGAAAGAAATGACAGTCTATTTCAATACAAGAAAAAGGATATTATATATGATGTTAACATTGTGTGATGGCACTTAGTAACAACTGGTTTACCGGCTGCTAGGGTATATTGCATAGTTATGTGATCAGTAAACCAGCAGCAAGGGTTGAAAACAAAAACTACAAGATAAGACAGTACCTGTAAATCTTCTATTAACATATCACATAAATCTCCAATAACCTTCCATTTCTCTTGATTAATAACATCACCCGTTCTTCTACCTTCTTCACTTAGTCTTAATATACTCTTGGTTCTGAAATGAATTACAAGTGGTGGCCTATAACATATTGTACCAAAAATCTAACTTGTCCAAGATATTATTGATTAAAAAAACACACAAATTTGATAAAATTCTGTCATAAACTGTCGCCTATATTGCGTCACAAACCACATTTCTAGATAATTTAAGTGTATCATTTAAATCAGACAAAAACAAATTTTGAAGCATATTTCACAAGGGCAATAACTCAAAAAACATTCATCGAAAAATCAAAATCAATTCAATATAAATGATTACAACAATTTTCATTAAAATTATATGAAAACTGTAGTCTCTAAAGTGTTCACAAACACTTTTGTCGCATTTTGACTAATTCAAGGGCAATAACTAAAATTCCGTTAATTGAGAAATCATCAACTCATAGTTATAGATGATCACACCAGATTTCATTAAAATCGGATGAAAACTGTAGTCTCTAAAACTAACAAATTTTGACTCGTTTTTACTTAGTCAAGGGCAATAACTCAAAATCTTTTCATAAAAATTGTCAGATTTGAACTTCACCAAGATCTCATCAATATAAATGCTCACACCAAATATCATTAAAACTGTAGTCTTTATTGAGTTCACAAAAAACTTTTGGCGAGTTTTTACTAAGAAAAGGACTGACCGGGGTGACGACAATATATGACCACATTATAATGACTACTTAGTTTTTTCTACAGTAGATTATTTCTTTGAATGTTTACGTATAAAATGTGGGCATGTAAAAAAAAATTATTCTTTGTAGGGCCAAATTTTAAATGATTTCATTCTTTAAACATTAAAATTGGTTCAAGAGTCCAGTCAATATGGCAATTTCTGGTTTGTGTGCACAAAACACGAAACAAGTCCCAAGCATTCTGACTATGAAAGATTAAACTAAAGAAGTATGTCAAAATTTAAACAAAGATTTGGTGGATAGGGGTAAAAAAAAAAGAGGATAAAATAAAAAAAGATAGCTTGCCAGGCAAGGTAATATACGCCCACTGACAGCTTGATTTTGAACATAAATATTTAGCAGTACAGTTACAATCACCAGTATGAAATATTCAACCTTTAGTCATACACTTCCTTTAAACTCTTTAGGGCGATACTGAATAATATTGAGTATGAGTTATTGCCTTAGTTCTTTAGCTAGTGAAATCTCTAGAAGACAAATATTCAATCTTCAGCGCGGTAATGAATAATAAAGTTTTGTCAAAATTCCGCAAGAAATCATGCCTTCTAGAATTTTTATGACCTACAAATTGAACGAGTTTTCAAGATCAAGGGCAATAACTCATGCTAAATATTTTTTCGATTTTTCTCATTTTCAATAGGCTTTATCCTTGGGTGATAACAAACACTCAAGCCAAATTTCATTAAAATCCGTCAAGAATTGTACCGTCTAGAGTGTTTATAAGCTAAAAATTGAACGCGTTTTCAAGAATAAGGGCTATAACTCATACTCAATATTCTTCTGATTTTCAATAGAGTTCATCCTTGGGTGATAACCAATACTCAAGCCAAATTTCGTTAAAATCCGTCTAGAATTGTCCTTTCTAGAGTATTTACAAGCTAAAATTTGAATGCGTTTTCAAGAACAAGGGCAATAACTCATACTAAATATTTTTCAATTTTTCTGTTTTTCAATACGGTTGATAACCAACACTCATGTCAAGTTTCGTCAAAATCCGTCAAGAATTGTGCCTTCTAGAGTGTTTACGAACTAAAAATTGAACGCGTTTTCAAGAACAAGGGCAATAACTAATACTAAATATTTTTAATTTTCTGATTTTTGATAGGGTTTATCCTTGGGTGATTACAAAACTCACACCAAGTTTCATCAAAATCCATCAAGAATTGTGCCTTCTAGAGTGTTTACAAGCTAAAATTGAACGCGTTTTCAAGAACAAGGGCAATAACTAATACTAAATATTTTTCAATTTTTCTGATTTTCAATAGGGTTTATCCTTGGGCGATAACGAACACTCATACCAAGTTTCATCAAAATCCGTCATGAATTGCACCTTCTGGAGTGTTTACAAGCGTTTCAAGAAGGTGATTACAAACAACCATACCAAGTTTCATGGGCGTATAAAAAGAGCTGTGGTAATAAACAATAAATGCTTTCGCTTGCTCCGATTTATTCCAGTTGAAAATCTAAAAAAGCACTTATAAAAAATAAATAATAAATTAGCCCTCTCGCCCCGATTTTTGATAAAAAAGGTCTGTAAAACAGACTATTAATTTTGTATGGCCTAATTAAAAAAAGTTGATATGAATAATTCACCTGTGTCTGTTCTGTATTATATGATGAGATAATTCTTCTAAAAGTGTTTTACTTTCTTTATCAAAAACTGATTTAGTTTCTTCCAACTATAAATGTTACAAGAAAATTAAAAAATGTCATTGATAAAATACTTTGATAAATATCACACCCATCTACAGTATTCCATTCATGTTCATAATCATATTTCTATATAAGAATTAAATATTTTGACCATATATTTATGCCTACATTAATTCATAAAATTTATTTGCCTCATCCTGAAGTCTGCGTATCTGAGAAGTTTTATGATGGAGTTTTCTTTCTAAATCTAATTTCTCATCTTCTATTGCCTTTAAATTCCTTTGCAACTGTTTAATACTCTCCTAGAATGATACAATATTAAAATTAAACTGTGCTTATCAGACTAAAAGTTTACAAATCAGTTGTAGATTAAGCATTGATTATGCTGACTGATTGCCCGAATGAGTATACAACACAGCAGAAAATTCCATGGCAGCTTTATTCTTTTAAAAAAGCTTTTGTTATCTATTTGTACTTGGAAATAAAACAAAAACTAACAACAAGCACACTTTTCAGTTTAAAATAGACAGATTACATCAGGATATTCCTATCACGAATCTTTTGTACTATACCTCTGCTTGTTTTGAAATATTCTTCAGTTGTTGCTCATATCCATCTTTAATCTTCATTTCATCATTGACTAGACTTATCTCCCTTTGTAATAATTCATTTTCTGTCTTTTTTAATCTATTCTTCATATCTAATACCATTTTACTTGTTGATGTTTGTTCCTTTTTTAATTCTTTCTACAAATAAATACAGACAAAGATATCATTATTCCAAACTAAGAGTATCAGAGAATTGAATTTTCAAAAATTCGGCAAGAAACTAAAGCCTATATTTCAAATAATAAACTTTGGTAGACACTGGAGGTATTATTAGTTAAACAGAACTTTAAAACTCAATATTTCTTAATTTATTTTGAAGGGCAAATAGTATTGATATAATGAGTTTTTAATATATACTTGATAAATACCTCTAAAACCTCTATTCTTTGAACTAAACTGGCCTCTCTCTCTATAAAATCACTTCTTGTCATAAAACTTTCGATATTATCATTCTTTATAATTTCTTTTTCCTGGAAAGATACATAGCTTGTCAGACAAGTTAACATACATTTTCATCCTGTAGATGAGGTTTATGAGAAAAAAATCACTTCTGGACATTATTACTATGCTTACATGCAAAAATTTCTTTTTAAACTTGATTAAAAATGAGGAAAAGCCAACCGAAAGACTGGCAGCAGTCAATAACAATAAACTCTCATATTGTCACATATGCATAAAAAAAACTTACCTGATTTAATAATATACCATAACATACCACCATCTCTCTACATAAACACTATAAATATAACCAGAATTAAATATAAGATAGAAGGTGGTGTTGTAAGGTATGATGGTATTACTGATAATATACCATTACATACCACCATCTCTCTACATAAACACTATAAATATAACCAGAATTAAATATAAGATAGAAGGTGGTTTTGTAAGGTATGATGGTATTACTGATAATATACCATAACATACCACCATCTCTCTACATAAACACTATAAATATAACCAGAATTAAATATAAGATAGAAGGTGGTTTTGTAAGGTATGATGGTATTACTGATAATATACCATAACATACCACCATCTCTCTACATAAACACTATAAATATTACCAGAATTAAATATAAGATAGAAGGTGGTGTTGTAAGATATGATGGTATTACTGATAATATACCATAACATACCACCATCTCTCTACATAAACACTATAAATATAACCAGAATTAAATATAAGATAGAAGGTGGTGTTTTAAGGTATGATGGTATTACTGATAATATACCATAACATACCACCATCTCTCTACATAAACACTATAAATATGACCAGAATTAAATATAAGATAGAAGGTGGTGTTGTAAGATATGATGGTATTACTGATAATATACCATAACATAACACCATCTCTCTACATAAACACTATAAATATAACCAGAATTAAATATAAGATAGAAAGTGGTGTTGTAAGGTATGATGGTATTACTGATAATATACCATAACATACCACCATCTCTCTACATAAACACTATAAATATAACCAGAACTGAAGATAAGAAAGGAGGTGCATGGTGTTGTAAGGTGTGATGGTTATTATTATAACCAGAATAAATCATAAGATAATGTACCATAACATACCATCTCTACATTATACCACACTATAAACTGATATATTACAGATGCATTGTTTCATCTACTTGTACATGAAAACAACTTGAGTATTGTTGTTGCATAGATAATGTTATTGACAAGGTCCAATGTTTAAAAAAGCAAACTTACATTATGACTATCAGAAGATGAACAGTAATCAATATAATCATGTATTTGTGATTCATCTAAAAACCATGAAGGTAGTTCGACTCTGCCATCTTGATATGAACATAATCTGGTCTGAAATATGAAAGATAGTGGACCACAGGCATATACGCCTACCATGGCATGCGGATGGTAAATATTCAAGATTTTGAGGCATGGGCAATAACACTGCTTCTAACAGTCGAAAATAGCTCAAATTCAAACTTGATCTTCGTTTTATGAATATGTCTACACATACCGAATTTCATTTGATTCCATAAAAAAATCTAATTTTTAGAGCCTTTACAAGCAAATGTTGATGGACAGAATGTTTACGAGCAATTGATGTTGATAGAAGCACTTACTGTATAGAGGTTAAATGGCGATAACTCCTTAAAACTGACGTAAGAGGCCTAAATCTTGAAAAAGCCTTAAAATTAATCAGAAGTAAACTAAACTTTCTCAAACCTTTCGATTTAGGTCCAATAACATACATTTTCAGTTTCATCAAAATCGGTTGAAAATTAAGAGAGTGATAGCATATTCAAGATTTTGGGGGCGTATAAAAGTATGATTTTGAATTTAATGTTTTACTTTCTACCAGAATGTAATCCTTTTGCAGATTAAATTCTAGCCAATGGAAACAGTTACATTTTCTGGACTTACTTTGGCATTCTGCATTTGCCCACTTATTAGCGGAGCACTAAACATCTATAGGACTAGGTTTCAAGCATTAAAGTGTGTATTATTCAAAAATTATTTTCTTTTGTGGTGATAAGTTACAATCACACACATAGTGAGCCCCTTGCTGAGAATTTCCAAGCCAACTTGCTCCACTCTAAATGTAACTTTTCTCCATACCTTGTCCTGAGTAGTTCCTACAACATCAACATCCAGTAATGTTATAGATTTATCAGCTATACTGATTAACTTGAAAGCCTTTCTTAAAACATCTTTGGTTTTGGTATCCAGAGAGGTAAAAGGAATGATTTGTTTTTCTTCAGTATGTGTAGTTCCCAGCAGTTCAGAAAACAGCCCAGATTTCATCAGAATATTGATCATTGTCTTATTACATAAAACTACCTAAAATAGTAAACAGTAAATCAATTTCAAATTAGGCAAAATTGTATAAGATTACATGTGAATTTTGAGAATGGTTGTTGAAGTCGCAGATGGGATAGGTAAATATTGATTTTTCTTCTTGTGATATGTTTTAATTTAGCACACATTTGAACTTTTGAAAAATTTGACAAAATTAGAAATTATACATCCAGACACTTTACTCGTTGTCAACTCTGTTACCTATTCTTGTAGTGTTTATGTGAATGTGACTTCAAGCAGGCACATGAAATGAAAATGAATGCTTATGAAAGACTGTATATGTTCAAGTTATACTTACATCCTTCTGCAGGTCATTAACAGCAGCTCTGATGGTTTCTGCTTCAGTATTATTTAACACAGGGGTAGCTGACTCACCAAAGTTTCTATCAAATCAAAAACAATCATATTCACATACAATCATACTTTCTACAGACATTTCCTTCAAATCCAAATTACAGATCCAATAAGAATAATAAAAGAAATGAAGAAAAAAACTAACCAACTGATCTAGGTCAGCTCTTCCAATTTCTTAATGAAGTATTTGTTCTATCTCAGTCCACTAAATTTGGGAGAATCAAACTCTCTCTTCCTTGCAACACAAAAATACTAACTGCACCAAATTCACCAAATGCCTTTTATTAGCCCCCCATCAAATATACAATAATAATTCATCTCTCTGACTGACTCTCCTTTTAAGAATAAATCATGGTGAAAAGAGATATGACAACAGACCAGTAATTAGGGCATTATTGCAACTTACTTGAGAAAATGGTTAGCTAATAACATAGCAGTATCTTTATCACTATAATCTTCAGCATGTCTTACATCACGATATTTACTGAATAATATAAACACTTCATATTACTCAACTTATAACTTGGTGTAGATTGTTATTCATATGATCATGGATAAATTGACAACTCCAACACCAATTTATGAATGAATAAGACATATTAGCATTTCTTTACAAAACTTCATTGATAATATTTGACACAGTTCAAGAATTCTTTACAGACAAAAATATAATAAATTCTGTACTCACTCATCTTGTAATAAATGAAAATATCGTGGTATAAGTCTAGAATCTTTTTGAATGGCTTTAATCCACATACAGCTTACCTGTAATATATCAAATATTATGTCTTCATTTATATCAACTAATGTATGTTATCTTTATTTTATCATTTTGAGGCTACAATGTCAGTCTCATATTCAGAGATGACCAACACAAAGAAAGATGAAATTTTTCTGTGACAGGATCAAATGCAAGAAAGTCAGCAAAAGTTCTCAGCAAAAATTGTAATATAGTAATTGAAAAAAAAGTAACAATACAATTTAAAACATGGTTAGTGAAATGAAGGAACAGAATGAAACGTTACTGTGACTTGAGAACTAACTTATCATTGTGAACATAATGCACACCCTTTCTTACCCTACAATATGTTTGAAAAAATCTCTGTCACTGTAATTAATACACACTAAATACTGACAAAAATAACAACTATACAATATGATTTTGAGGAATAATATCATACCTGATGATCAATTTCACTGGGTTTAGGAACAGCATTTCTATCACGATCAATTTGTAAATTGGTAAAGTCTACTCCAGCTGCCAAACTTTCATGTGATAAATCAGATACCCAGATACCTTTATTATATAGTTGTCCAGATAGATTTTCATCTAATAATAATCTACCTAAAAAATATCAAAGTTGGAGAGTGGAATTAGGTGTCCAAGGAAAGGTTGGAATGTCACACCTAAAGCTACAGACAGACTGAGCAAATTTCAGTCGCTGGTAATGCTGGTAATTCGGCCGAACAGTGGACACACTGGGCAAATGACGGCGTTGCTAACTTGACTGAAAATTATCGCATAAGTTGGGCTTTGGGCTTAACATAATTAATTCCTCTTTCTTTTCTGCATTCCAAAATTGCATTCAAGGGAGGTCGCCATTATATTTGTCCTGTAACGCTTTGGGAGTCTGTGATTGGTTCAGTTACAGGAAAGTTTGCGATAGACTTCGCCGGAGTGAACACACATGCCGAAAGAGTCGAAGCCGATGAACATTCGGGCGAATAATATCAAACATGCTTGATGTTGGCGAATGACTTCGGCCACTGGTCGGGAGAATGTTCTAGCACTAGACACACTAGGCGAAGTTCACCGGCGATCAACTTGCCCAAACCATTCACCGTGAAAATTCGCCCAGTCTGTCCGCAGCTAAACAAGTGAAACATCTCACTATAATCAATGTAGTGAAGCTTAAAGTTTATAAAGTGAACAGTGAAAATATTCTAAAGTAATTTCTAGATTTCTAGAACCCAAAAAAACATGTTGTTAATCAGAGTTTCATGCTATGTGATCTTAAGACAATTCACCTGTTTCAGCCTTTTTTCTATTTGGACCCATGTAGTTATTCTTTTCATTATAACAACAAAACTTCAAAAATTTCAAACAGGTCAATAAAATTAATCTGAATCCTTTTTATTTTAATTATACAAAACCTGAATGTCAAAATGAAGCAAAACCCTTACCAAGATCTGTTTTCACAACATCTGTTGGTGGTTTTAGAAATAAAAATCTTGGCAACTGAAACATGTACATTGAATAAGTTAATCCTCAAAATTCTTTTATTTAAATCTTAAATTTTAATTTCTGCTGATTTAACTACAGATATCTTAACTAAGATGGAACCTTTCCAGAGAATAATTTCCATATCACATACTATATTGCAATTCAGTACTTTTTCATCTAAAATACAATGCCAGACTCACTATCATTTCATTGAATACAAAACTTGGTCATAGATTCATGAATTTAAATTCAATATACAGTAGTTGTCAGTAGTTGTGGCTGTAAAAACAAGAATTTTCATCACAAATGGTTTACAAATGAAAGAAAGTAGCACTCTGACTTACAAACTTCTTCCAAAGCTCACTATCAAGACCACTTACTACTGCAGTTGTTATTTCATCCTCTATTTGTTGAAGTCTGTGGGTAGAAATATTAAAACAATTTAGAAATTAAAGTTTTGCTCAAAGCTCAAACTCGAGTTTCACAGTGTACAGCTTTCAGACAACTGAAATGAATATTTTTCTGTCACTCTGAAATCAATTCAATCATATTTTCAGCACTATTTCAAATATTTCATGAAAGATCTGATGTGGGTCTGATATGACTAGTCACAAGAAGAAAGAAAAAATTCTAAGTAAGAAATTTTTCATGTAACTTACTTTTCTATGTCATCATTTTCCACATCTACATCTCTTTCTGAAATATAAACAGATATCTCCTAAAGTTTTATCACATACCGCTTCAAATGACCAGGTATTGCTGTTTATCTGTAGAGGAGATACGCTAGAAGTAAACATAATCAGTTTGCTAAAAAAAGAACAGAGATCATATGGTTCAAAACCATTGTATTCCTAAAGCACACAATTCAATGTTTCAATATGTTGCATATATATATACCTGGCCATATATGATCATGTTTTACAGCTTAAATTAATTTTTCAACAATTTTTTATTTTACTTCATAAATTTTCATTTTTGAGCCATACCTAAGGACTTTTCATTATTTTCAAACCTTAGTAAAACATAAATAACTTACCTGAAATAATTACAGTCAAAACTTTTTCACCGAATTCTTCATTTTCTAATAATCTAAAACTCCATTGATCTCTGGCAGTTTCCATGGTAACCATGTATCCTTTTCTAACCAGAGCTAAAGTTCCTATTTTCAACCCTTCTCCAAATTGACCAATTATTTCCTTCTTTTCTGCTTTAGCACTATATCCCAGTAACAAAATCTTCTTTTGTAGACAAGTCTTATAATTTGTTAATTTTAATTTTGATGTGAGTCCATCATAATTCAAGTTTCCTAAGAGAATTTGGTTCCCTTTCTTTTCATCTTCAATGAATGCATCAAATTCTGCTGAGTAGCCAGACACATGTCCTTTAAATTGTACAATATTTTTACCAATGGGAATGCTTTCAAGACTCGCTAAAGTTGAGTGAACACCATCATGCCAATTTTGAACAAGTTCTCGTACACCTTCCCACTCTCCCCAGTGTCTTGCATAACTTGATGTTATTGTTAAAGGTATCTTTTTTTCAGTCATGCCTGTTAAAAAACAATAACAAATATTTCCATATTGAATTATACAGGTAGATAATAAACGGATGCAAATAAAAAACATGTGAAAATTTAAAAAATTCACAGAGTAAGAGTCAGGATATCATATATTCATTGCCGCTCACAATTGAATTGTAAGGGTAAAATGTCATTTGGCATTTGGTTGGTCACTTCAGAACCCTTTATTGGATCAATACTTCAGTTGGTAGAGAGATAACAAGTTCGCCATGTCAACCACTGGAAAAGTTATTATTCGTAAACATGATTTTACAGAGGGGACTTTTCAATCGAAAAGTAGCCTGCCATTTTTACATGAATTTTCTCGGAGGGAAGTGGTCTATTTCAAGTGAAAAATCATTAAATCCTGGAATTTCCATGGAACCGAAGACATTCTAAGACAAATGGCATAAAGTTGAAAATTTTATCATGAATATTTATGAAATGAAAAAAAAATTCAATTCAAAAGACAGTAGTACATGTACTAGTAGGGCGTAGGGTTTATGATATTGATATAATTATATCTCCTCTCTCTTATTTCAATGTTCACAATCAACGGCCGAGGATATTCGCCACCCGGGTGGCAAACATTTATTCGCCACCCTCATTTTTTTTTGCCACCCGTTTTTAAAACTTTAATTTCTCTGAAGACTGACATTATTAGCTGTTAAGGCTATAGCGTTACATGCATTATAATGTTTTTTTATGTTCATTAGAAACGCTTTTTTGCAATTCCTTTCAAGAAAATGTACGAAAATAACACCTACTTATAATTGATAATCGCTGTGCCATTGGATGGCTATTTATAGTCAACCGGTGTCAAGTCAATTTGGCCACCACTTTTTTGAATCACTTCTATGAAATTTAGTCTCGATATTTATGTCACCTACAAACCTTGCGTGGCTCTGCATTTTTTTTTTTTTTTTGAGGCCCGGAAGCGTTTTTTCTCGACATTTTCCGGCGGATTTAAGGATTTTTTATATAGTGTGTAGGAGATCCCACTCTTTGAAGATTTTTAGAATCGGATTCCCAAAAACGCGAATTCCCGACATTCCCTATTAGTTTAAGAAAGCTGGAGCAAAAGCTGAGGGTGGTAAAAAAGACTTTAGGGTGGTTAACAAGAATTGTCGGTGGTACACAAGAATCGTCAGGGGTAAACAATATGTGAGGGTGGTGAACAAGAGCTGGAAGTGGTAAACAAGAACTGCGGGTGGTGAACAGGAACGGAGGGTGGTAAACTAGACCTACGAGTGGTAAAGAAAGACCGAGGGTGGTAAACAAGAGCTGAGGACAGTAAATAAGATTTTTGGGTAGTAAACGGGAGCTGGGTTAATGAATAACATCTAGGGTGGTAAAAGAGAGCCAAGAGTGGTTAACAAAATTCGAGAGTGGTTAACAACAACAAGAGCTTCGGCTGGTGAAGAA